TATATTTGAAGAATTTATTTATATAAAAAATATATTTATAATTAATAATATAAACTATCAGAAATTTATTTAATATTAAGTAGTAAAAGTCTTAAACAAAATTAAAATTAAGATAAAAAATTATTTAAAGTTATTAATTATAATAATAAAGTTTTTTAATAGTAGTTTTAAATTTTTAATAAAAAATAGTAATAAAAGTTTTTATAATAAAAGTAAGAATTAATAAAAATAAAATTATTTAAATTTTTGAGTATTTAGTATAATCACAACTACGAAAAAGTTTATTTAAATATAGACTCAGATATAAATATAGATATAAATATAAATATAAATATAAATAAAAATATAGATATGAATAAAAATATAAATATAAATATAAAGATCTATTATTCAATTTTTAGAGCTTTTTAAAAAAAAAGTTTAATATTATATTATAATACAACTAGAATTTAAAATATTAAATAAAGAAACAGTTGAATATATAGATTGAGAATTAAAATAAATTAATCTTTCAAGCAGAGATGAATTAATCTTAATTTATATATAAGTAACTATATTATAACAGTTTACATCTTATTTATGAGACTTAATTTTTAAATATTAAATTCTTTTATTAGTTAAATACTTAAAATTATTAAATTTTATAAATTATTATACTTTTTATATCTCTATTAGTTTAATTTATAAAATTAAAAAAAGTTTATAATTTACTGTAATATAATCAATTTTTTTTTATTAAATTATTTATTTATTAATTAAATTTATTTACTTATATTTGCTTTTTATTTTATTTATTTTTAACTATGCTTAGAGTATTTTATATTTTATTATAATATTAATAAACTTTTAATATATTTACTTCAGATTTTTTTTAAATATTTTTAAAAATATTTTCCTTCATATAAACTCTTTTAATCTTATATTTTTTATTAGAGTCATCATATTTTAATTCAATTTTTATAAACTATTAAATTTACTAATAGCTTTTAATATTTTAATAATTTTTTTAAAGATTAAAAATAAAAATTTTTAAAAATTTTTTACTAAAAAATTTACTTTAAAAATAGTAAAAGAAGTAATTAATTTTAATATTATTTTATAACTTTAATCTAAATGCAGATAAATAAATATTTAATTATTAATTATATAAACTACTCTTTTAAACATTAAAACGGTGAACAGACGGCCCGTTTTGGCCGTTTTTTCGGCTGCTTTTAGCCTCCCGTTATCCATTACCTCCACGCACCACGCACCCCACGCCCCATTTTTTACGCGGACGACCTCAACTCCCACGCCCGATCCGTCTCTCTCCCCCCATCCACTATTTTTGGATGGGCGGTTGCATCACAACTCCCTTCATTCACCCGCTTCACCCAGTTTCTGGCATGCAAGCCGAATATGGCCTTTCTCTCACCAAATATAAAAGCATGGCTACTCCCAGCTCTCTCACCCTCCCCCTCTCTGAGGTTCACTCTCTGCCCCATTTCATTCCCATTCCCGCTCTCATTCCCACTCCCACTCCCACTCCCATTTTTGCTTTCCACCCCTCCTGATACCATTCAGATCATTCACTCTCTTCCAGCTCTCCACCTCTGGCTTTTACCGTCTCTACCCTGTCTCTCCCATTTAATTTCTTAATGAAGATGGCCCGTCGACGGGGCTCAGTGGTGCCGTCTCCAATCGTCAGTGACGACAGTGACGACAGTGACGAATCTATGATGGACACCGACAGTGATGTCGATTCCGATGCCAGCGGCGAAACAGACATCACAACCCCCATTCATCATGGTGACGGGAAGAAGGAGAAGGAGAAGGAGGAGGAGGAGGAAGAAGAAGAAGAAGAAGAAGAAGAAGAAGAAGAAGAAGAAGAAGAAGAAGAAGAAGAAGAAGAAGAGAAAGAAGAGGAGGAAGAAGAAGAGGAAGAGAAAGAAGATGAGCAGCAGGATATCGATGATCTGGCGGAACTCTTGACGGAGAATAATCATTCACCAGAGCATTACCTTAACATGATGCAGACTATAGACTTGTCTCGCACAGAGTGTGTCAACTATGCTATTGGGACGCTTGCTCTGCAGGATCGTATCAGACAGGAATGGTTGAGGTAAAAATGTCCATGACTTCAAGAACTACATTCCGCTCAGTTTATCTCACCGCCCTGTACAGTTATTGCAAGTTTCTCAAGTCAGATGCAAAGGCCATGTATCAACAGCTTGACTATCGTGTGCTCTTCACCTTCTTTGAGTGGATGCTGAATCAACGCCGGGGAAAGAACGGGAGACGCCGGCAAGGTATAAAACGCAAGAGCGCCCTGAACACATATTGGAAGAACTTCCGTACCGTATATGAGCTGGAGATGCATGAAAAAATCGACAAGGATACATCTAGGCGCATAGTCAAAAATGTACGCCCCGTCTCGCGGTGGTCTCTTGATATAGGTTGATACAGGCTTGGTCCTGAGATGCTCACTGAACTCACTAATCCTGGCTTTCTATTCCCAAGGGTATACCATTTCTCGTGAAAAAATATCGACTCTCCAATAAACCCCGGCCAAAGACCACTGTCTACCTTGATGATCTGATCAGGGTCGTGGAGACGACTGTCACAACCACAAAGAAGAAGTTCGGTCACGGGCGGCTACGGATTTCACTTATTCTATATTTCCAGCTCGCCGGGTTCTCGGCCAATCGACCACAAGCATTGCTGAGTCTGTGCTATCGACACATCAAGGTAACACTAATAAAAGACCCAGAAGGTGGGCCCAATAATATCCTGATCGAGTTTACCACCGAATTCACCAAACAATTTCTTGGAGAAAAGGAAGAGTATGTGAAACACCCAGCCGACCACCCATGTACGCAAGCTGCATTATATGCGATCAACACCACTGACAGAACGGTATCTATAACTAGGACCGAGTTCGTGATACCGGAGATCATCTTCGATCCATCGCTCATCCTCAGTCCCCAAGTTATCCTTTTAGGCCTCCTGTTTGCTGATGGTGCATTCGCTCGCCTCGATGGCGAGAGGATCCTTACTTCAGCATCGCAACTGCTCGATCTAGATATCCCAGAAGATACTTATCAGCTTGAATTCAACTTGGACCCAGGACTGAGCGACATCCCGATACTGCGGAGGTCCGAGCGGACGCTGGATGGAATCAGAATATCTGATGTAGAGGCGCTCACCTACAATATTCTCTTACCCTGGATCAAATGTATAGGAAAAATATCGACAATACGCGAGATCGTCCGCCCTTATAGCTTGCGATACGGTGCAGGGAAGGCCCTGGATAATAGCGGTAAGCGAGAGGAGAACCTTTCCTTCCGATTGTCATGTGCTAATCCTCATCACCCTGAAGGGCACATCAGTGATGCGGTTCGAAGTTTGATCTTCCAGCATTCCGATCCTAAAACGTTTCTTAAATACTATCTCCACCGAAAGGTGGACAAGGATGTTCGTGCGGTCGTTCAAGGCCTAGATCCGCAGAAACAAATCATACGTGCCGCATGTCGAATGATCCGCACCGTCAACCCACACCGACCGCAGGAGCTCACCACCGAAGAGTCATCGTCGGTCAACCGACAACCTCACATCAAGGAATTGGTCGAGAGACGCGACCATCTCAGTAAACGTCTCGGACGTCCCATTGCCAGACACAAGGGCACTGTCAAATATGAGCTTTACACCAGGGTCAGCCGCGAATTGGCAGGTGCACGCCAGCGGGCTCGAGACAAGCTCCTACTCGAGAAACAGGAAAAGTTTGACTTTGAGGAGCCCCTGCGCGAGATCAAGCGACAGTTGTTGGGCATCAAGATCTCAAGGAAGGTCAAAAAATCTCTTGATGCCAATACGGCAGTTCCACCGGTACATCGACGACTCATATCGGCGCTGCTTAGCCTACCCCGCGAGACCCTGCAAGATGAAATGCTTCGGCGTACTGAGGCGATCGACGCTGTTGTAGACTACTGTCGCTTCGAGGAAGGGGAAACCTGCCGGCTGCCGCGTGACAAGCGCGCTGGTCCCAAAGTATTCCAGGAGGTGAAGATCGAGATCCATGTCCCACCACCGCCACCGCCACCACCAAGCGTGAGGGATATTGCCCTCAAGGCGGTGATGGAGGACCATCGACCGCTTTACTGCTTCATCTGTCTGGACAAATTCTCTAAACATGGGGGAGTGTCCAAACATATCAGAAGAAAGCACCTTCAACATATCAAACCTAGTGACACGATATCTTGCAGGCGGTGTGATATTACCCTAGACCACAAAATGCACCTTCAGAGTCATGCGTTCTCCGTTCATCAGACCGTTACCTAAGCTATACGCAGGTAATCAACTATTAACATGTACCAAAGCCGGCCTCTGGTTCTTTTTGTATCATCATACTTCAAACGTCCTACAGTACAGTATTTGTGCTGGAAATGGCAGGCTCACAAATATAAGGAGGGGTGGTCTTAACTCGACTTAGCTCTTGGCACGATCTGGCCATGACCGTAGTATTATGAACAATCCACTTCTAAACCACCATTTACCCATCCGCTTCCCTGCCCGACTCTTCGCTTCTATAGAGATGGCCGTGATGGTCTTGACAGCCGGCCTGTCAATCTTTGTCTATTTATTTGTTTCTTTCCTCTTTATTGTTCCCCTTTCTCTTCATTTTTGAATTCCACTCTTCCCAGTGGTCCTAGCTAGTTATGAATACAGTGGAATCCTCTATTATGATAGAATAAAGCAAGAAAATTAAAAGATCACTGCAGAATTGGAATCTAACCTCGCGTTGACCTATCATTTCATGGCCGGATATGACCGAAACAACAATCGCATAGAAGCCAGCTTAAGAACACAATGTTCCCTGCAGCACGCCAACGCGCTAAAAACATCTGAAGAGCGAGCCGGGGAACAGGTGCAAATACAGCCCGCATGTGCAGATCCGCCTCTTCAATATCTCGATTTCACTCGTTTCATGTCCACGTACATTCCATACGACTCAGCCGTTCTGCCTAGTAGCTCTTGATAACACCAACGACAACCTGGCGACACGTTCCGCAGATTTCAGTAATGGGGGGAGCGCATTCCGGGCAATACCGATGCCCACACAGAAGGGTCCGCCATCCTGACGGGATGGTATAACAGATCTGGCATCGACATTGATACTTCAGCTCACAGACTTCAGTCTCAAGCTTGTCAATGAGCTCATTCTTCCTAGTCATTTCCGCACGCAGGCGCTGCACTTCTTTCTCCAGTAACTCTCTCAGCACATGCTCCGCCTTGAAAATGTTATGGATTTCCTGGTTCGCGGTTTCCTATCTCATTATCAGCCAAGGAGGAGCCCCGCCATGGACCCTACAGGGAGGAGTCTTACCAATACCATGCCCAGGTTATGTCTTTTCGGTGGCTGGGACATTTCGGAGGGTGCCGGGTCGTTAGATTGAGCCTCATACATTGGATAGCTGTAGTCTGTGCGGGGTCTCTTTCTTCGCAGCTTTCGTGCTGGGGGCTGGCGTTCATCCATCTCCGAATCTGAACTGATGATGACAGTGTGATGAAGCCCGTCGTGGGGAATATCAGCTGACGCCATGATTGAAAGATGGTGGAGCGCCGCTGTCGGTCTTTTTATGTTCACTCGGTTGTCCTCGAGTACGCAAGGGCCTCTCGGTGGTTGGTGTCTCGCGGCGGTGTAGGATGAGTCGAGATAATAAGGAGGAGGGAGGAACGGAAGGGCTTGAGGGGGAAACCACGCATATTTATACCCGGTAGGCACAGCCGCCTCACAGGACCATCCACGGCTGGTGGCAGCAGGGGGTTGGCCGCAGGAAAGCTGAGCCGACGCCGTATATCGCCTGTCTTAGGGAAATCATGCCCCCAGGGAGAGCCATGTCCCCAGGGAGAGCAGTGTCCAACAGGGAGTAGTGTCCCCAGGGAGAGCCATGTCCCCAGGGAGAGCCATGTCCCCAGGGAGAGTAGTGTCCCCAGGGAGAGTAGCGTCCCCAGGGAGAGCCATGTCCACAGGAGAGCAGTGTCCCCAGGGAGAGTAGCGTCCCCAGGGAGAGTGTCCCCAGGGAGAGTAATGTCCCCAGGGAGAGTAGCGTCCCTAGGGAGAGCGGTGTTCCCAGGACCGCAGGTAACAATCGGCTCGCGCCCCAAGAACGGACCCATTGTGGGACCCAGGGCAGTTTTGGAAATCCGTGCCGCTCCTAAAGTGCGAGCTATATTTGCATCTCACGATTCTCCACTACTTCTCCAAGAGTTCCCAGCCTGGTCCCATTCAAAGCCAAATTCCATAACGCGCCCCAGATCATTTGACCATGCGCCTCTTGTGTTCTGTTCTTCATATAGGTGCAGGCGAGTTGGGCAATGCAAAACCATCGCGGGCATCTCTACAGAAGGGAAGAGTGGGTGGTTCCGCACTCAAAACAACCCTGAGGCTTCTCCGCGTGGAGGATGTGCGGCGGCACGGGACATCGTCCCACCCCTTATGGGAAAACCTCATTGAGATTATTGTTGCCGTGGTCAGTGTCGCGGGTGCTCGCTGGGGAGGTGGTGTTGGGTGGGGGGAGCGCCGATGGAGCCTTCGGTCTCCTTCCCCGGCACTGTTCTCCTATGGATAGAGAGGTGAATCGGATGATCGGTATTCTGGCCTACAGCCAACCCCCTGCTGCTGCCACAGGATGCATGGTCTAGTGATTGAGAGGCGGCTGTGCTTTCACTACGGGTATAACATGAATCAGCAGAATCCACAGGAACCATGGTCCTCGAGAGTTGGCTGCGATGTTCCTGAACTGCTGGACAATATTTCCTGTGTGACAGTGAAGGGAACAAGAGGAGGTATGAGCGTTTACTTTGCTCACTGGAAAGACCAATGGTTCCGAAAGAAGAATGTTGGAAAAGAGCGAAGCTACAATATTAGTGGCGGTGATATGAGATGAGTCAGATAAATTGAACATTTTGCCACTTTTTCCTTTCTTGTTCCTTCTGCAGTTGACAAGTGGAAGGTGATGAAGAAGAAATAGTAAACATTAATCAGTAAATGAAGAAACCAACCATAGAAAACGAAAGTGTTGCTCTCCAGAGTGATTCACGTGATAATAATGCGGTTGTCGCATTATTATCACGTGAATACAGATCATCAAATCCTTCAGTTCTCGAGGAAATCTCACAAATCCCACACAACTCTCACAAACTCAAAACCAAAACTATGGAGATTCTTAATCTCTCCCAAGCACTAGAGAAGCTCACTCCCTCTAAAGTACTTGATTCAGAGGTAACTTATCACCACATCTTAGATTGAGCATCGCCTTCTGACAGTAGATATACTGTAGAAATAGGTAGAGAGAAATGAGATGGAAATAATGCTTACCGGCACTCAAATGTTCCGCGTTGGATCCCGATCTTCTCTCGCAGAGGTAGCTTTATCACATTCTTTTATAATCAATATTCTCAGTTCATCAGGGGCGGGATCTACTATTAACCTCTCTCTCTCCTTTTGCCGATCCTCTTCTATCTCCGCCACAGCCCTAGTACGATGTTTTTGAGTTTTCTAAATACAGAACCGAAGAGAGAGGCGAAATATGATCACATGACAATACGACGACGACCGCCGTATTATCACATGATATGGTTATTGAGGCAACAAGACGCCTCTCTCCACCGAGCACTTTGCCATCTCAATGATCAAAGCTTGAAATCGAAAATGCTCGCGACACCTACACACCTTCATCAGACTGGCTCATTGGTGATGATATATGGGCAGAGAGCAGATTGGGTGGCTCGGACACAGGAGGGTGGCTACAGGACCTTGGACTCTGAAGCTGGTGTATAAGTAAGACAGAGATGAGATGTATCAGATAGTAGAATGAATAGATTTACAAGAAACACATGAATATAATAATTTCAGAAGCCTAAAGATTTAAAGTTATTCACTGAGTTAAAGAATAAAAAAATATAATAATTATAACTCAGAGACTCAGCTTAAATTTGCTCAGTCAGTTTTAAATACAGAATAACTATAGTAGTCACTGTGATATACAATATTACAAAAAAAGGTTTCATTAGTGATTTTTATTAAAATAGAAGTATTTTATTCAATTTTTATATTTTTTAATTTAGTAACTTAAGTAGAGATAAAAATTAATAATATTTATTAGATAAAGTACTTAACAGAGTAGTTAAAAAACTGCTATTATTTAAGTGGCACGAAGAAAATGAAGAGAATGCAGCCGTCAATTGGTACACAAATCCAAGCAGCTAACTAACTAGAAATTGGTTGGGCCAGGGGTAGCGGCATACACGGGAAAGTGGGGGCTGCTGCATTAGCGATCCACACCCAAGAACTCGCTTATCTCTGCAAGGAAACGACTACCACCATCTATCCAGCCGAGCTTCTTGGCATTCTCATGGGCCTAAACCTAATCCTAACATCAGACCGGCGCAGAGCAGCAATCTTCACAGACAACCAGGCAGCTCTAAAGGCTCTCCAGAAGATCATTCGGCCAATCCATACTTCGGAGGATCATAGATACTCTAGAGAGGGTCAGCTCCCAGGGCCTCCAGGTGGAATTCTACTGGATCCCGGCGCATCAAGGATCGAAGGTAATGAATCGGCGGATAAGCTCGCAAAGGAAGCGACGGGTTGCAGACGACAACAAGGTAGACGTGGGAGGGTGATCACAGTGAACACCGAGGACACAGCAGACACTCCTGATTTCTTAAGGCACCTGATATCCGCAGCCAAGTCGGAGCTTCACCGCCAGACCCAGACACAGTGGGAGCGGGACTGGCAGAATCACAAGGCAAGTTGGTGGGACTCATTGTCTCATCAATGTACAGAGCAGGTACCGAGCCTTATCAGCACCCAAAGTGAATTTTTGCCGGATATTATACCACAGTGGATTTAAAAGTTAACTTTTGAGGTCAACTTATAAAAGTTAACTTTCTATTGGGCCCTGACGCCCACAGGGGAGTAACGCCCACGAGGCCGATGCCCACAAGGTCCTGACGCCCACAGGGGAGTAACGCCCACGAGGCCGATGCACCACAAGGGCCTGACGCCCACAGGGGAGCAACGCCCACGAGGCCGATGCACCACAAGGGCCTGACGCCCACAGGGGAGCAACGCCCACGAGGCCGATGCACCCATGGCATAATACATATCACCCAGCAAATGCGCCTATGGTCCTAGGATTCTACCGAGGAGAATGAAATATCTTGTTGAAGCAAGTGATAGTGATGTGTTCATTCTACGCCCGGTCGACCATTACGCCCGTCATCTCATTACGCCCGTCGCCCATTACACCCGTTCATCCCTACGCCCGTCATCCACCATTACGCTCGTCTTCCACTACGCTCGTCACGCATCCGCTCTCACTTCCTCCCCAGATTCTACAGCAAATGCCGGAGTCTGGATGTCACACCAGAGTCGAAAACGATTACCACCACACCAGGGCATTGTTCAGAGAAGACGTGGGCGGATACAATGTCTCTTCCACAAAATTGTTGATGGGAACGAGGCACAGGTTTTATATTTCTAAATCTTGAACACTGATTCAAGTGGTACATGGCCACCTTCAGAAGAACAGATTGTATGAGCTCCAATTTTAGTCATATATTGGAAAGAAGCAGTGGATGATCTTCTCACTCCCAAAAGGTGGGGTGGTTGATGCTTTTTATTGTGGGCACAACCAACATCAATCGGGAGGGCTCGAGCGGGCATAATCCTTACCATTGCTAATTTAACCCAAGCCGCGACCGCCTGAGAAATTCTTACCCAACAAGTAAATCTACACCATTTCATTCCTCTTATCGTCACTGCATTTATCACTGTACTCCACACTCTTTCTGAGGAGAGTCTATCTCCGTCCGCGCCTCGACAATGCGGATTGGCCGCCAACCTATTATGATGTTGATAGCGATGAATGGGTGCTGCCGTTTGATGTTGATAGTGATGTGAGCAAAAGCTGAGAATTTCATTTATTTATATCTGGCCATTCTAATGCGCGCCGCCCCGTATCGATCAATGAAGTCCCCATCATCAACCCATTTTATTTCACAAAACACTATTAATCTCACAACGATCCATCGTGTCTTGAAACTGGGCATCTTGTAGTTCTTGAATGATGAATGGTTGCTGCTGGAGTACCTTCCTACGCGCTTATGTCCGTGTAGCAGAGGTGTAAAGTGGCCACGCAAATCGTTTAGATGAATTTTAATCCGCCCGCCGAATAATGAAGCCATGCCATTTTTATATTAGCAAATGCGGACACGTGTCACTGAATTATTAGCTTAGATATTAAACATGCGTTCACCCTCTGTTAAACAATATCCTAGCCATCACGTAATTTGGTTGTATTCTCCTCACCAAACATGCTGGCTCGCTGCTCGCCTTGATATGACAAGATGTGGCTTATGAGGCTTCTAGGAAAGACCGGATAGTGTGAACGGAACTGTCGGGTTGCTTCTGGGGCCTCAGTTTCAGAGACGTGTCATCAGACTTCCATGTGTCATATCCCAAGTGTTTTATATCATGTGATTTAGTGTCCCAGGAAAGTGGCAGGAAGGCTACTTAGTCAGCACAACATAGGCTACTCGTGCGCCTTATCTCCGCTACGGGACGATTTATACCCAAATAAAATAGGTCTATTGAAGAGCAGGGTACTATTCCTACAAGCTTTATCAAAGGATGCATTAAAAAGCCTGGGTATTCAGCCAGCAGCGCATATTGATGAAGCATATTGCTGGCACAAACCATTGCGTGAAATTTCCACGTTTCAACCATAGCGTGGTGAGGCGGATTGGGGCGATTGACGGCGCTGGATTGGCGCTGGATTGTGTGCGACTGATGGGGCGGCGACTGACGGTGGATTGACGGCCGCTTGGATGACGGCCGGCTTTGGATGACGGCCGGTTGCCGAGTTGGACGGCCGATTTGATTGCCCGGACGGCCGGTTGCCGTGGGCCCTCGAGTTTGAGACTGTACTTCGAAGCTACCAAGGGGGGTGTCTACGGAGTAATCCTGGTATGGTGACTTTATATCACGGGTTGCTGTATCATTATTGTTTGAGATTGATACCAACCGCTATCGCAATTGCCATTATTACTGAATTATTACTAATTACTCAATATCCCAGAAGATGATGTCCCACCCGACCATACAAACAAATCTCAGCAATGAATTAATCAGAAATGGAACGGTTTCGTGAGATTCGGCCATCTCCCTGCATCAATGCTGACGTGATCCACGTGACCCCGTTTGACGACATCTGTTCTTCCAGGAGTAATAAGCTGCCAGCAGTTCCAACCCTCCATGCTCCTGCAAATCGTCCAATGTCATATCGGCATATACCTCATAACCCCCTGGAACACTCTCTATATTCCGTCGAAGGGATGGAATGGCGATAAACCGATCAGAACCACAAGGCAAGCTGGTGGGAATCATTGGTCCGTCGATGATGATTGGATCTTCTGCGAGAAGTGAGGTGTGAGAAATGTTTTTCACAGCACAGGTGCTGAGCTTACCAGCAGAACCTGAGTACTTCCAAGGTTTTTCTTGCGCGCCCCATGTTTCTTGTAAATCTGTCCATCCTACTATCTGGTACATCTCATCCCCGTCTCGCTCATAGACCAGCTTCAGTATCTTCACTTGAGAAAGGGGCAAGATAATGTATTCCCGCTTATCCAGCTCCCCCAACGCATCCCAACGGTCGGACACCAGGGGGGTAACTTGCTCTGATCGGTGGGCTTGGATGTGATGTTCCTCGCCCGGGCGTGGGTCAGCCTCGATGAAATCATCGGAGTTCAACGGCTCCTTCGATGTGTTGCCTTCGCCATCTTCTGGGGCCAGGGGAAGAGCTGGCTCTCGTCGATTGGGTGGGTCATCAGCAACATCGCTCGGGCTTGGGTGAGCCTCCTCGATGGGGCCGTCGGAGAAAGCCGACAGTTGGAGTGACGGTGGGGGAACATTGACTGGGGGGGAGTCGAACAGGATCCATTCATCCCAGTTAATGTCATCGAGACCCGAGACGGTGGACGGCAGGGCAGAAAAATCAGCAAACACCTCACTTGCTGCATCCTTAGAGAGGTCACCGGACGCAGAGAAGAGGGGCACGGGCATGGGCATGGGCATTGGAAGGAGGTGCTGGTGCACTTCGTCTGACCGAGGATCAGGAGTGTACGCCGACGGGAGGTACTCCATGTGCAGCCGAGGTGAGGGAGAACGGTTGGCAGGTCCAGAGGAGGTGATATCGTACGTGAAGGTAGCCATGTTGTGAGGTGAGATGATGGGATGCTCTTCTCCCTCGATCTCGACCCAGAAGGCACTGGAGGTCTTTATATGTCTCACGATCAACCCCCGCCTGCGAACAAAAATAGGTCGAGGCTAATCGAGGAGGGTGGGAAAAATAGTAGCTGAGATGCGTCTTGCGTGGATCGCCAATCATCCACACCAAAGAAGCCGCCGGACCGGGCAATGTTGCATTGATGGGGTGGGCCAACGCAGGAGTGCTCCTGGCCACCACCTCCAGACCAACATGGGCTCTCGTCCAGTGAATATCAGCCAGCCAACCTACCCCCCACCCCTTCTTTTCCCCCTGGCCATGCGCCAGGAAGCCGAATCGACAAACCGCTAAACCTGGGGACAAGGAACACGGGGGTGGCATGCATGAGGACGGCCGAACTTCACCCAACCATGTGTGCCAATCAAAAAGTGCGCCTGGCTTCTCCTCTGAGCTCGAGCCCATGGATGTCTCGACTCTGAGCGAAAACACCAACATGCAGCAATATCCGATGCGCCACCTGCATCGAGGCTTATCATTTTGTGATCCACACCCCCATGAGTGCGGTTTGGCAATCCCATAGGGGCTTTATACACGAAAGCAAGGTGAAGGAAAATGCAAAATGCAGCTCATCCTCTGGACCTATCATCCATGCCGGCTTCTCCAAAGGGCGCAGCAAGGTGGGCGTCAGATCAAGCAAACTTGGGCTGTCATCCAACCAACATCGACCAGAGGGATTCCCCCGCACTGTAAATCAGCACTCATACCAGCCAAAGCCTTTCCCCAACCCTCCTGATACGCCAGGAAGTTCAACCCAGTCGATAAGCGAGGGTCATTTGGCTGGCATGTAATCGAAAGAGGGAACTACACCCGCAGCCAATCGTCTACACATGAACCAGTGCAGAAGCCTGTGATCTTTTTGCGAGAGGGCGCAGCGAGATGGGCATCGGGTCAGCCCGCCCTAGCGTAAGGACCAGGTGGAAGGCATTGCTGACAGACAGTGCAGCCAGTCCAACCAACATGGGGTTGGGGTATAAACGGCTATAAATGGCGCTTTCCCTCTCATTTGAATTCAGTCTTTGCCCTTCTCCAAATCTTTTTTTCTTCTTCCAATATTCTCTTCCTACTCTGCATCTCTGCACATCCTCATCATGGATAGACAAGGAACCGGAGGCCCTCCGCCACTACCCAGTCAACTCTTTTCGTCTGGTGCGCAGCGATCCACTCTTCCAGCTTATTGCGCGGCGTTGGGTGACTTTCTCGAGAAGGTGCCCTTCCAAACCTATCCCTCTGGTAAGGGTTTAATGACACCCTGTCTCCATCCTTCAAATCGATTTCTCATCTAAGACTGCAGCCCCGCTTAACGTCCCGCCCGAGCGGCTGTCTGTTGACAGGACTTCAAATAACCGGCCTCAGCCTCCTGGTGGTATCGAACCAGACGGCTGGAACAATATCTCAGATTCTGGGGCTACGACAGAACCGTTGGCCCATGATGAATTGGAGAATCTTCCCTATTGGTATGGGGCGCAGCAGGTTGAAAAGAGCCTTAAGATTTATCATGTCGGAGATAAAGTATGGCGAAATAATAAATATGGTCACCATGTGTTTTATGTGGTGGGAACATATCTCCCAGACAACTGGCTCCCTGAAAATGCGAGGCTCCAGTTGTGGAAGCAGGAGGAGAAACGAAAGAGAAGCAAGGAGGAGAAACAACAAAGGGAGAAGGCGATGCTACGAAAGAATCGTCTGAGCACATTACGTCCTCGACCATCAACACGCAATTAACGGAAGATGTGATGTCAAACCGCTCATTTTTTATTTGATATTATAATACACAGTCATTTATCCATCTGCCTTCTGTTGCATTAATTAGGTGATACTGAAGCAGTGGGTTGCTCCACGTCTTGCCCATCTGCCGGGAACGCCCTAATATGGTTTCCCCCCGGGAGTCAGTGAAGTGGTGCCCCACGACCAAAACTATAGTTCCCTACGGGAAGTTAGGGAATTTGCAAGAATGCTGATGAAGGTGAACCCTTAGGGAGTGTCACGAACTTGTACATAACGGCAATAAAACGGAACCCCATGCGGCGCCGACATCCCTGAGGAGTGCCAGAATTCTGAGTGAAAAGACAACAAAAACTGAAGTCCCATGCGGTGTCAGCATCCCTGAGGAAGTGAGCTCCTTGAGGAGGTGAGTCCCATGCGGAGTTGGCATTCTTGGGGAAGTGAGCCCCTTGGGGAGTGCCAGAATTCTGAGTGAAAGGGCAACAAAAAGTGAAATCCCATGTGGTGTCAGCTCCCCTCGGGAAGTAAAGCCCCTTGGGAATGCCACATTTTTGAACTATTAGCCACCGGAGTAAAATCCCTGAGGGACGCCATAACCTCAGTAGAGAAGGCCACGAAATTAAAAGCCCTTAAGGAGCCAACACCCATCAGGGGATGGCGCCATGCTGAGTGAAAAAGCCACAGAAAAGATGCCATGATATTACCGATTATATTTTATGTTTTAATTGGGAGGAAGGAGAAATGGCTTTGTCTTTCTTTCTTTTTTGGGGGAGGGGGGGGGGGGGGGTTTGTTTTGGTTTCTTGTTTTTTTGCTACCAGGTAGAAGTGGGTGGGGTGGAATGGACAGGAATGGCGACATTCCAACTGATACCTAGGACACATCATACTTGCATACATAGACGGCATAGATGGTGTGCAAGTTTAATTCGTTTTCCTCCTTTTCTCCTTTTCTCCTTTTCTCCTTTTCTCCTTTTCTCTTTCAACGCCGTGGCTATATTGTTGAACCCACTCGGCTTCGTCCCCATCGAGGACTTCCGCGCCGACCCAACCAGATACCTAATCTCCTACGGCCGCGCCGCGGGCCCGGACGTGCACAAGATCTCCGAGCATAAATGCCCCGTCAAGGGTGGCGAGATCACCCTGCGCATCTTCGAGCCAGAGGCTGTGTTGCTTTTATTTTTACTTCTCTTTTTGTAAAACTTCATTCTTATTTTTCCTTTCTCTCCTCTTCCATTTCCTTATTAGTACATAGACAAAGACAGCAGCGGAATATGTGAAGCATAAAGATGGGCTTCGGATAGCGTTAGCCATGAATGCAGGAACAAGGTTCGACCACCTGGTTGGCCTCCACCTACAGCGCCAAGCATCCACCTGCAGCCTCTCACCTGGGCAGGAACTGAACTATGCCAAATCCGACTAGTGCATATACTATTTTTGCTTGCAAATCACGTGCGTGTTTCCTAAAACGTGGTTGCCCCTGGCGCACGCTAGACCAGATACGGCTGGTACAAACATCGCCCTGAGGCTGTTTTTGGCCAGCTGAGACATCGCCCACTGCGCCCCAGCCACAGCAACCTTGAGACGTCGATATAAAATATTCCATCCCCACGCAGCACAGCAATTTTCTCCAATTCGATATCAACTTCGGAGTATTGCATTGAACTCAATTGTGCCGTACGCTCTCTCAAGTACGCTCGTCCTTCCTACTTATTCTCAAACACGTGTCTCCATGTTTGGGGTGTCACCTGCCGCCGGGCCGGTCTCCTGGGGTTGTCCCGTCGCCAGTAACTGTGGGTCGATCGCCGGTTGCTGTGGTTCCTGTTGTGGTGCTGGTGCTGCTCGGTCTTCTTGTGCCTGTGGAGGCTCTCGGGTGGGGACTGTATGGTCCGAGGGTTCTTCTCTAGGGCTCACTATTGTGATGATTTCGTTGGGGGTGGGACTACGTGCGTGGCGTGGTCTCTTCCGCGGGTTGCTGTTCTCAGGGGGTTCGTCTTTGGGGGCCACCTGCCAGTAGGTGTTTCGAACCTGCTTTGCTTGCTCAACTCTTCCCAATTCTTTCCTCCTTGCTGGGCAGGCGTTGCTCCATGCTGTGTGGGCACCTTTGCAGACTGGGCAACTGGGAGTGAAGCCCTCCACTCCCTTCTGCGTGCAGTTCCTGGTCTCGTGTAGCTCGGCGCAACAGCCACATGTTTGGGCTGCATCGCATTGAGTGCCGATGTGACCGTAATTGTGGCAGCGGCAGCATTGCTTGACTCTGCAGGCGCGATCATAGAGTTGACATGTATGTATCTGTCCGTCCCACGCCATCCCTGCGTAGATGATGGCGTTGGCCATTTCTGGATCCGTGAACTCCACCACGATTGAGGATGCGCGTTTGAGAGGGGATTCTCGGGTTAGCCATCCCACATATGAGATCTCTGCCTTGGGGATGACTGTGTAGTTGTCTGCGAGTATTTGCTGGATGGTCGCTTTCTGGTCCTTGATGTTGATAGTGCTTGTAGAAATGCCGTGGGTGATGACTCCGTAGGTAGGCACGATGAGTTCCGCATGTTCCCCAAGTCCACTTACCCATTCTCTGTTCTGTTTGAGCTTAACGGCCTCTGCCGTAGAAGAGGTGAAGATCTGTATATCGCCGCTTTTGAGTTGATGGGCGGCGACCACCTCCACTGATTTGGTAACCGCGTGGTTCTTGATCGAGGTCTCGACTTGCTGTTTAATCTTGATTGCGGGAAGCGTCCGAAAACGCTGGGCGATTCCATGATCCTTGAGTCTGACTGTTACTGCTCGGTCCTTATATGCCGTGACTGTTGACTGTGTCTTAGTGGTACGCGCGCTTTGGGCTGCGCCCATGTTGCAGCTGTTCGGCCACCACTAAAGTTGGTGGTATTAGGTAGGGTGGTGCTGAGGCCTACGGAGTTTTTGATGATTGATACGTCTCTCTGGATGTTCTGCGTGCACTTAACAGCATCCTGGACGTGGTGGAGGATGTCGCTCATTGGGGGCTGCCGGAGCACCTTGCCCGCGAGCGCGATGGTGGATGCGATGTATTGCTGTACTATATTCCATGGTACTTGATTCTGCCTGCCTTTGTCCACGGCCTGCAATTGATGGCATGCTTCTCTAAGGTATGTGGCGTGCTCGTTGATGTGTTCTGGGCCATTGTTCACCTGCGGCCACTTTGGTGCCATTACAACAAAATGAACGCGTTTTCACGCGTCAATTGAAGTAATTGCCAAAGAGGATGCGGGCAGACTGTAGAAATTGCAAAATATTACGCGTTTTTCAAAAATTTGTTCTGAGCTGTTGGTGGTGTTTTCTAGTACAAACTTGTCTAATGAATCGCATAAAACGCTAGGTTTTCCTTTTGATTTCTAAATAGGGAAGAGTGGACGTACAGTTCGTACAATGTTCTCATGTAGCGTCATAAAGTTATGATCTTTAGAGAAAAGATTTATCGTCGAACGCAGCTGCAACACGTTATCCCACGTGAACTTGTAGTATGAACGGGAGGAAAACAAGAATAAAACTATCAGTGACGTACGTGAAGATTCGTACCACATCTGCAGTATTTCTATTGCACTCCGATGGAGAGATATATCCGCCTTTTGTGCGAGGGGGGCATTGAGGTCTTCAAACCCCGGAGCCAGAGGAGGCGTTATATCTTCCATGTCGTCGAGTCCGCGGTTAGATGGGGAATAAGTTCCTCGCTGAACCAGCGTTAAAGGGCTATTTATCGGCTGTATTGCAGGGGGAACTTCAGATCTTGTAGATTCTACAAAATCATTCTTCTCCGCAGCCATCGCCGCATGATATCCTGACCATCTCCTGAGCATTGAATACACTTTACCAAAGAAGGAGAATATCACCTCCCTTGTAATCTCAGGCCCCCATCCTCACAGCCGCCAACGCCGGGCAGATCGATCATACTAAAAAAGCTACAGCAGCTAGCATATTTCCTCACTTCTCTTCCTGCCCTCCATCTTCGCCTGAAGGCGTCCTGAAGCTTCTATCCGGAAAGGCTCCCTATGGCCTAAATGCCCAACATGGCTGCGTTTGGTGAGGATGAGGGCAGTGGGTCGGACTACGCCGATGGCAACCAATGATATTTTTTCAGACGACAGTGGTAATGACACTGACGGGACCGGCGATAGCGATGAGACTAATGAAAGTGATGAGCAGTTTTGGGAAGAAGACAAGCTTCCTCCTCCCGAACACTATGAGGCCGAGGATGCCTTCCATCCAGCGGCGGTAAGTCTCCACTTGTTTCGAAGGCGTGCGAAGGCGTCTAAATGTATTCCTTGTTGATCCATGAAAATGTGGGGCAGATGTGAAGAGCGGGAGACTACTGGGACTTGATTATTTTCACTTGATATTATGGGGAGAGGGCTGGATATGTAGCTACGAAGTGTTGCTTCATCGAACCAAAAGTCGCTTTTTGAATGTGTACTTCTGTCGGATGTGACTAGTCGCTTTGTCGCGGCGCTTGTATGCTTGGGCCACAATCTGCGATCTGAAACCGTGTTCCCCGCAATTTTGATTCGCGATTGAACTCGGCCACGCGATCCGAATACATGGCCACCATTTGCAATCCGAAACCGTGGCCCTCACCATTTTGACTCAATTTTCCACTCGCGATCCGGACCACTTATGCTAAAAGAGAATATGAAAGTCAAGAAAAATATCCTTACAATAAAGAACTTTAAATGATAGTTATAGCTTTTAAATATTGAAAATATAAAACCCGAAAAAGAAAAAATAAGAAGGATAAAATAAAAAATAAAACATAAATTAATGACTGCACCGTGCGGAAGATGGAATTCGTTAGTCTGAATGCAAAGTACATAAATATAGAAATCGAAATGCAGAAATGCAAAATTGGAACAACACACTTTCCATATACCAAGAAACGGCTAACCGCTTGTTGGATGTAGAGGCGTCGGATTGTTAACCAGGTATGATGAAATGCATTGCACTAGTTCTGTACGGATCTGTAATGAGAATCAAGATTCAAATCAACCTAAGCTTTAGCCACTAAGAAGCGCCAGCCAGTTCACTATGAAAGACCTGCTGAGAATAATGTCAGTGCAATTCTGTTTATTCTCACAAACCCTATTATAAATAATAAGTTTAATGTGATCTGCATATCTGCATATAACGGGACGGTCCGGGATGATCTTCACCAGCTAGACGAGGGAAAATAGGTTGTCCGTTCATACCCTAGCGAGAGAGACTGGATGGCTAAATTAACTTAACCAGTTTATCCTCCACTAGTCCTGATTGGGCCAAGTCATCATCAACTTTAATGGACTGTCCATGTCACCTGGCCACACACTTGAAACAGTACATTTGCAACAGAAACAGCCCAAGTATATAAGGACCCCGCAGAGAAAGGGTTACATATGCCAACCACCTTGGGCACCAATCATGCCGAGGTACCACAGTGCCAAGAGAACAGTCATCTGGGGCTGTTCCGCGGTACCTCCGGATGTGAATGGGATGGGTGGAACAAGCTCAAGGTTGCCGCTGTCATCCACTCTTCGGAATACGACCAATTCACGATCGGTAAGAAGAAAACCGTGTCGAGAATTGTGCTGTTTCATATACCAGTTGACCTGACTGAGTGCTTGGCGATACTCGTTGCGAATTCCGAGGAGTGGGTGGGTTGCAAGGGCTGTGCTCCATTTCCACGATGGCTTGACATCTCCTGGAGCGCGGTTTGGACCGGTGCCTGCTGGCAGTGCGACCGCAAAATAAGCGGTGTCTGGCTTGAAAGCATCGATAACTTCGGCGCACTCTCCAACATCAAACGACACGGGAGTGAGGTCGTTCAGTTGGTTGATTGCCATCAACTGATCAAACCCAGTTCGAAGAGCCCGTCGCACTCTTGGAAAGACATATTCTGAGATCTTGCTTCTAAGAGCATTCTCTGCTGTTATAGCACGGGGTGGGGATGTCGGCATGGGGTCTGGCGGGAGCCGTGCTTGAACCAAGAGATTCTGGTAACTTTGAAGAAGTGCGTTCAAGTTGAAGCCATGCCAAACCCCTATATTGTGGATGTCGCTAGCTTCGTATGCTGTATTGGTGGTGTTGCGCCCAGGGTTTGGAGGTGGATTAACTGGAATCGCTGGTAAAGCATGTTGTAGGTAAGTTAAGAGGGACACCTGGTTCGCCATATTGAGCAGGAATCAATGTTCACTATTCGGTCACAAGTCGTCCGCAAGTCGCTAGCCGAGGAATATTGTAGTCTTATAAGTTCTGAAATTTAACAGCATATTTGGTTTCAGGATGAGGCAATCGGCCAAATTGTATGGAAATAATCGAGTGTTCACAATGACGTTGCCCACGTCCAATTATCACCAGCCACGTCTAGCTACTCCGGAGGCTGCTGCCTAAAGGCACACCACGTTTTGTACAACCTTCACGTGCCCAACGCGTGAGTACATATTTCACCACTTTCTCGAACGGGGTATTTACGAGGCAGACAAACAAGACAAACATACCAAGGTATCATGTATATCACGTGCTTTACTTCCTTTCTCGATGTCAAAGTCACAGACCGTCTTTCGCCCAGCGACCCAAACCCACTTTCGAAATGGATCTAGGCAACGATGGGGCTTAACAATATCAAACCTTCCGAGATAGTTTTCAAGGTGAAGCTTTTTGCCTCCGATTATTCGGTGATATTTCTTGTTATTGTTCGTGGCCAGATATGTGTTATGAAAGTAGTAAGTAAGATCCTCCGAAAATTGCTCCTTTCTGATACTGATGGTAACAGCATCACGGTCGAGGGCCACGACGGTACTACGAACCGAAAGATCGTGAATTGGATATCCATGTGCTTGAGTCTGCCGCCTATCGGCGACTAAGGGATCGAGGGTTGTGTGAACGTGGAATTATCCCTCGTTTCCTTGGGACGATGGAGAAGTTCGATCCGAAACCATGCCAACCTTACCTGAAAATGTTCCTTCATGATAAATACCTTCCTAGCGCTATTTTTCTGGAATACATACCGAATCTTGAGATGATTCATCTGCACAACTATACACAGAAACGAAAGGACAACTTTCTCAAAGGCATACAGGAGATACACGGAGCAGGAGTACGGCACAGGGATCCGAAACCTAGGAACATGATGATCGTCAAGGACGATTCGGAAAGAGTTGTTTGGCTAGATTTTGATCGAGCAGAGACTTACAACCTTCCAGTCACCGATGAACAAAAAAGGCTTTTGGACGAGGAGGAGGAGATTGTTCTTGGCTTCTGGGACTGTTTAGTAAGTGCTCTACTCCAATTGCAGCTCGTCTAAGGGGGTTCGCGACCCATTCTAAATCCCATTATCTACTGCCAGCAAGCCGATTGTACAAAAGGGAAACTTGATGAAGCGTACCTTTTCTACTGCACTTGATCGAATCCTCTCGTGTCACGCGTTAATAACGAAAAACGCCATCCCCATTGGGTATATATGTACCCGACGCACGGTTGAAGCTGCTTAATCAAAACCGGCTAAAATATTCCGATAGTATATTTTTCTCTACCTAGCTACAAATTCTTTCGCATATTCCCCCATCATCATGGTTTACACAATTATGTACTGTATGGATAAATTTGTATTTGAACGCTTAGTACTTGTCTCAGTGATCAGCAGCTGAGGCTTAACAAAGGCAGCGGATTGTATAGCTGCTTAGCATGGGGCTGCGTATGAAGTTTCAGTTTGTACTTTGAGGTTAAAAGACAGCTTGTTTCACGTGGGATGATTTTACCATAAGAATAATTTTTGCAGTAATTATTACGCGACTTCCATGCTGTATTCATATAATATTTGTATTTGAGTGTTTTGATCATAGTTCTCGCCCGGTTTTTTTATCATCCGTTCCATTTCGTAGCTGTGGTGTACATGAAATGTCATATACAATGTAGATGGTAGTCAAGGTCTCCAGCGTGTACCCAACTCCTTCTAATCCGAAAGAACTAAGCTTTAGTGTATTTCGCCCCGCAATTACGAGGAAAATCATGAATCTTGCCAGCCGTCTTAGCTCCGGCGACCTGCAGGGCGTCCATAAGGAGAAGCGCCCACAGGGGTGAAGCGCCCACAGGGGAGGTGTTGAATATCACGGTGGTTGAAACACGTGCAAGAGATCTGAAACTTGTACGTCTGTATGTATATATATATTGGGGATCCCACCTCTGCTGAATTGAATAATAATAACAATGAACACTCCTATCACTTGTATCTTAACAAGACTCTTAGGGAATGCCACAGTTTTGAACTATTAGCCACCATAGTAAAACCCCTTGAGGAGGGCCATAATCTCAGTGGAAAGGCCACAAAAACAATGCCCATGAGGAAAGTCATATTTTTTTAGTGAAAGGCCACTGATAGTGACAATCCTTAAGGTGAAATCTTACTTCTTGTGAAAGTCCCGCCATTTTGATGTATAAAAGACCCTTAGGTTAGTGCGAGGAATTGCAAAAAGAGGGAAAAGTTATAGGCTGGTTGCTAATTTTACATCCTGAAATCGCAAACCTCCGTCTCCAATTCGCAAGAATGGGTCAAAAGATGGACAAGCTGATGGAGCTTGTCACAACATCTTCCAACCGCCGTGGAAAGCGCTTTCTTCGCTGACCGAACTGGTGCCTCCCCACATTTTGAATTTGATCGTATTTAAACGCATTGGAGCCCAAATCTATTAGGGTCTTTTCGGCCACTATCGGATCGCTGGACTAAGTCACATGGCACTCGAGCCCCACCAACGTTACGCAACCCCTCTACAGGGAGATCGTGTGTATTTCTGGCGCTGAAATCCCAGAATCTTCAACACTTCGCAATGCCAGAGAGTCTAACATCTTCTTGCAACCGCCTCACCTCCTTTGTAAATATCATTTGTGCAATTGCCAAGGTGAGTTTTGACCACCTCCCATAGCCCTTAACTACTGACTAATTCTATCACAGTTTCAACTGTCGCATTCCATACCCATTCACCCTACGCTGTTTCTGAATAAGTTTTCAAAAAACACCTTTTGCGAGACAACATTTTTCCCTTATTTAAACTTCGCTGAATATTTTGCCCCGATTATCGTCGCCTCACGATTTGGGTAAACCGCAAGTCTCACCAGAGGCGCGTCCCCGGAATTTCGGGAAAGTATGGCTAATCAGGTTGGGGATAAGGCTCTCAATGGAGAATGGGAGGAGATCGGCGCGCGTGATTTTCACATAAAAGAGGACATGACTATGACATTTGAGGGTAGATCATGTAATATTGCAGATGGTGAAGGGAAGTTAGTCGAAAAATTAGGCGCGGGCGATGGACAAGTCACAAGAAAGGTCCTTTCTGGATATCGATGTTACATAATGAAGGCGTCAGTTAAGTTCGAGAAGGGGTAGTACTAATTGCATTTATCATTGATAGTCAATCTTTAAATACTTCTGGGACATCACCGCCAGACTCTGGGTCCCCCAATCCAAACAAGTTACAGATGTTCCATCCATCCTTGTAAGAGATCCTGACAGCAAACAAAGCATCTTCGTTGAGTGTCTCTGGCATGTACATAGACAAGCAATTCGTAACTGCTAGTCCTCCTCTCTCCTGTTCCTCTTTCCATGATTTGCTCGCCTTTAGCGCAGTGCGAAATGGTTCAGGAAGGTTTTCAATCATGTCTCGCCTCACGAAAGAAAATGAGCAGTACTGTCCGTTTCCTGGAAATGTCGGATTCCCTGTCATCAATGTTAGGTACAAAAGTGATATCTCAGGGGACCATCTCTCTAACCTGAAACTTGCTGTGATTCCAACCGGGGGCGTTTCGGCAATGGTTCATCTGTTTGGAGTTGCAATAATGAGAATCTAGTAACTAGCATAGGCCAGCGAAGGTCACTCACGCTTATTAAAGTTTGGGACACTGAACTGTGTCGCCATGGAAGAGAGAGCTGGGAAATACAAGGAGTTTGTATTGTTGGCGACCCAATGAACAAGCATCATTCTCTTCTCCTCGCTCAAGGCAACCACTCTGTGTTTGCCCAGGCCAACAGCGCATAGCACGACAAGTCCCTGTCCAAACTGCCCACACGTTCGAAGGACATCGTGTAGAAAGGAACGGTATATCTTGAAAGCACGAACAGTCTGCTCAGTGGTCATGATCCGAACTGCGGCGGAAAGGAGATTCGCGGCTCTTGGCTCTAATCGCTGTAGGGTGCGAAGTTTCTTTGCGTGCTCTTGGAGTCTCTCACGTGGCTCGCGGATTCCTGTTGTCACCTGAAGGTGTTGCGTCTCCTTCTCAAGTGACTGGTCCATTAGTTGGTGAAGCTTGCTTAAGGGGGGAGTTAATGGTGATTGAGTTGATGGTGAACAGTTAATGTATAGTTTATGAGAAAAGCCAGCGGAGGGAATATATTAACCCATGTGGACTGGATAATTTACGCCAAGGTTTCCTGATCAGTTTAGTTCATAGTTAATGTGTAGTTAATTAGTAGTTAATCAGTACTTGATTAGTAATGTATCTCTGCGTCTGGCGGCAAGGGCAAACCAATCCCGCTGCTGCAAATTTGATCAATCAAGCGACATATTTTCCTGGCTGACTTCTCCGGCCGGGTGTGATCCAGCTGCAGGGGATTATACAGGCCGGGTTTGGCTGTATCATATTTGTTACTTGCGCCCTCATGCGCAGTTTTGGCAGCAGGGCCTTATTGCCGGGAAACTAATTGATGGGCTCGTGCCAATACACATCAACATGTCTATTTTTGCTTGTTTTGATGATCATGTCTAGCCCCTTATCTTAGTGCAAAGGCAGGCCAGCCACTCTAGGAGGAAGTTGCGGCATAAGGAGGGATATTGCCTAGGCCGTTTCCTTGTGCATGCGTCTACATGCATGCGCAATTTTGGCACTGGAAGCATTGTTGACATGGGAAACTATACATTGTCTGCAAGCATAAAAGGATGGAAGCAACCCATAAAGTCTGTATTTTGATATATTGCACTGCAAGAATTCTTCACAAGACTCGTCCCTTTACAGAGTATATCTGACATCCTTACGCCCCTTACGCCACGAACTGTTCCCAAAATCAAGAACAATGGCACTCATCAACCGCATAGCCTCGCATGTTATCGAAGAATTAGACAGCAAGATAGCCTTTGCAGAACACATTAAGACAATTAAAAAGAGCCTTGAGAATACACAAGACAAATTCCTCGACGGAATATGCGACGATGACCATGATGACGTTATACCTGCCTATGAAGAGCTTGAACATTCTCAAGATGAGATATTGAATCTCATAGAAAAGATAGAATTCGCCATGTTTGAAACAATAGCCGCTCTCCATGACCTTTTCACCGACAACAATGTTGATTCCAGTGTTAAAACTGAGATATCTGACGCCGCCAAGCGCCATCAAGCCTACCTAAACAAATGTGACAAGGAATATGTTGAGACCCATGGAAGTTACAGGTGGGAGGATGTTCATGTTTGCAATTACACAGCTGGAACAGAGGAGGAAAACCGAGCCGACGCAGAGCAGTTGCCTCAGAGAGAGCCTTAGAGAAGGCAGCTGGATGCCGATCTACCGGCCTCTGAGAAAGAAAATCGGGATGTAGCACGTAACATTTGAGTGTCGGTAAGCATTATTTCCATGTCCAGTGGGCTTTATTGCTGACCGTTCACCAAGGTACGTCGAGAATGAGTACAATTAATGGAAGGAAAGGGAATCCGATAATTGGACAGGTCTCTGTTTCTTCATACCTTGCTATGGTTGTTACCCGACCCATGTACGCCTGCGATCGAAACGAACTACTCCCTTGTGTGCTCATGGATATAGATCATATGGCTACTTCTCGGTGGGAGTTCACTATTGTGTCGGCATTTTCTCATAATGTGCGTTAAAAAGCTTCTAGAAACCAACAATGCATTGGGCCTCCGGCCACCTCTAGTTAGTTGTTCAAACTTATTGGCTGCAGGTGTAATGAATAGCGAGGTTCGCAACTCCTCCAGGAGACATAGAATATTTGCTGGGGTCCATATTTCACCCTTAAAATGGACCTAATTAAGAGAACTGGACACGTCAAACGGTATGCATTGAGCAGGCTAATATAAATGATACTTATTCGCCAGAATATTTCAAATCTCTGTCCAGCCGTTTCAAAGGTTGTTTGTTTCAAAATATACCCGGAAGTTGCGGCGCTTGCAACGCCAGGCCACGATTTCAGGGTGCAGGCCACGGTTTCACTAGTCTAAAACCACCGATGGCTTGTAGGTGGCGTAGAGTTGCATGCCCAACTTCTGTTACTGTGCAAAAGGGAATGGTAAACCGAGAGAATACTAAACCTAGAAAGCCTAGAAAATGCTTGACCGGGAGAATGTCTTATTGCTAACATCAGCAACAAAAAAAATGCTGCTTCAGATTGTTCAGAAAAGGCTAACTTGTGAAACAAATTACACTAAACCTAAATTTTAAAAACCCTCATCCAGCCATTTTGTAAATCCCACTCAACCACTTTCTGAATTCCGTGGGTTTGCGCAGCTATCTCAGCTAAAGAAGGATGATGTTGTTTGATATTTCCATAAACACAAATCCCAAGAATGTAAATTCGAGAGTGGTAACGCGGCTGATAATGATGTGCATGAAGGAGTCGACATGCGCTTGGAAGATTTGGGTGTTCCGTGAGTATATTAATTGTGGGCTCGGACATTCTTTTGTTGCATCCCTTCTCTTTGTTTGTCCTTTCTCCTCTTGCCTCTTGACGATTCAACCCAAGAAGATTCCATGGAACACTATGCCTCGAAGTTCTACGGAAAAACGCCCCAAGGTTCGCGACCGCTTGGTGAGTCCTCTCGATGTGGTTGGGTGGAGATTTTAGTGGTTGCATCCACCCGAGTTCGACATTGCTGGGTCCATCCTAGATCTTCGCACAACCCTCTGGAGGCAGCACCCACCCGCTCTTGACGGAACACTTCCATTTCACTACAGCAGTCATCTGCCGTTTTCTTTTGCCGCGAGGCTTCCGGGAGTGTAGCGATTAATTCGTTAAAGGAAGGGATCTGAACAGAACCATCAGATTCATAGTGAAATTGGCTCTGTCTTGGTGGTGGCATGGATGTGGTAGGAGCGGGGTCCTGTAAACTTTGTTAAAGGTGAATAGACGTAGCAAATAGTGTTCTAGTTACCGAACCCCCCTCAAAATGCTTCAAGTAAAATAGTATTGTCTCTGGCCGGTCAAAATTGATGACATCGAAAGAGATATCTTCAGCAGGCGATCGGGGTGTACGATTCCAGCAAATTGGGCAGAGTTTAATGAACTCATTAATTAGGTTATGAGGGATTCTGAAATGTCACGGTCAGCAAGAGCTTTGACCACCGACTATGTTATTAGCATACTTGAAATAGATTCTTTCAACTTCAAGTGAAGTCTTGTGTAGGTCTCCATGTTGGCATTGCTGATGGGCTCGTGCCAAAATTATAAACAGCTTCTCCCGAATTGCAATGGGTTTCCCTTCGCGACAGATCAAAAGCTGGTTATTGATTGACTTGAGTGTGAACATCTTTTTGCACCAGTGTCTTCGACATTAAGTTAGCCATAATTCTCCCAGTGGAGAAACCAAGAAGAAACAATATTTCATACTGAAACTCTGGTGATTCCGCGGTTCTAGGGCCGAGCACTGTTCTGATCCTGCCAGCCATGGTTGCGGTAGAGTCGAGCACTGTTCTGATCCTGCTAGCCATGTTTGAGGATATCAAAGCTTCTCCCTGTGTGTTCAAATTTTTGAGACAGCTACAAATCATCAGCAATTGTCTCGGTCGAATTATACTATTTCACTTACTTTTCAAACTGGTTGACATTTGGAAATCCACAAAGAGGTATTGATTCCAATGTCATTGAGTGACTTATCTGCTCTTCAATCCTTGAATCCTGCTCATTCAGTGGTGAATTCTCTGCCTGATTCATTTTAAGTGATAGAATTTGGAAGAATTTGGAAGAATTAGAACTCTGGACTGGGCGCAGAAAGCTTGATGAACTTGGTGAAAATCATTCCTCCAGAAAGGAAAAGAATAGGAACTAGTCTATTCTTTTATACTAGAGTTCGTAAACGGCTCGATTATCCGGGCTGAATCTAAAAAGTCATTTTTCTCCTCTGCTGCGCGCATGGCACGCTGCATGGCGCAGTTTTGGCACAATTCCGGGATCAATGGAAGCTCCAGGGTGTGATCCAGATAGGCAAACCATTTGCGAACGCCGCGCATCAGTTGCAATGGGCCTCCAGCTGTACAACAAGGCACCAGTGCCAAAATTGCGCATGCATGTAACAAGGCAAACTCCTCCTTCCTCCCTTTGCATAAAGGGTAAGAGTGGATGACCAGGCTGCAATTGCACAAGGCAAGGGGCTAGTGATGGTTGCCAAAACAAGTGAGAGACAAAAATTTGGCTTGGTCCTTGGTGCAGGGGACAGTTGCAACGGGAGCCCATTCCAGCGGTGTAGTTCCCGGGTCAGCAATAAGTCGCTGGTGCCAAAAACTGTGCATGCATGATAACAGGAAATGATGAAAAAAACGAGCAGAAATCACGGGCTGCCAAGTGGCATAGCAGTTTTTGGCAGCCCACCCCTTGATTTTTCCAGGCCATCAATGCAATGAGCTAGTCAAACCGAGCGAAAACCAAACATAGGCTTGATACACGCTGCAGGGCGTAAGGCGCCGGTGCCAAAACTGCAAATGAATGCATGCATCAGCCGCCAGAGATCACAATCTCCGCCCAGTCTGATGATCCAGTGAAAACCAAATGCCGCTTGTTTTGGACGACCACCACTAGGCGTCAGTTTCCCAGAAATAAGGCCCCGGTGCCAAAACTGCGCATGAGGGCGGAAGGAACAACGGCTACAGCCAAACCCGGACTGTATAATCCTCAAAACAAAGAATTCGTGTTAACAAGTGTGATGGCCGAAGCAAAGGGCTAGTGATGAACAAAAACTTGGCTTGATGCTTGGTGCAGGGGACAGGATAGGGAAGCCCATCCCGATTCCAGCAGTGTATCATTTCCCGGGTCAACAATAAGGCACCGGTACCAAAACTGCGCACGCATGTACTTGCTCCAAGGGCCATCTTCCATCGAAAGTTGCAGCAAGGGCTGCTGGATGCCAGGGCTTCGGATTTCTGTTGGCCAAAATATTAGACCGAGAAAGTGATAGAATACATTAGCCAACGCCAAACATCACAGCCACATCAGCAATACCCCGATCCAAGGAATCCAAAGACTTAAAACCATTCCAAATCTCATCAGACAAAGCACGACTTACGGGCCCTCAACTGGTACAACCTTGTCATTATTTTAAGCTCAAAATATGTGTAGCCATACCGCTAGCTTTATAGGTCAGGAGGATAGTCCAGAGTTCGCACCGCCAAGAATGGATAATATGCAGTAAGGCGGTGTTATGGGACTCGTACAAGCCATCACTTGCAATGGGAGCTCTTAATTCCAGCTGTGTATAGTTCAGAATTTGACATAGCTGAAGTTTCCAACCACAATCCGGAATTTCTAATTTTCCGGGATGCACTATCTTATTGGCGCAAGCAGGATGATTCTATTTTTGGGTATCCAATCATTTTTCTTTGATTTAACAAAATTATCAACCAGGAACACCCTTGGAGCTCTTCAAATAGCCATGCACCCGCTGGGCTCTATCTAACCACCCATGACTGAGGAAATTCTAGGCTTTCGAGAACTACCCGCTCCTTCATCCATTCGCGGATTTCACGCACAAAATTCGGATAGCCTTCATTTTTCGGGAGCCACCAGTTGGTTAACTCAGGGTTCTTCCACAGATTGGCCATTCTTATTCGGAATGCCAGTGGGTAAATATACCTGATAATCAGCCAAGGATTGTTAGTGGTTTGACAGAACTGTAAAAGGGACTGCTAGTATCTTGACAGTAAACGTACCCGAGCTGCTCAATCATAGCTAGTTTCCGCCGAGCCCACATCACATGTTTCTCAAGGAAGAGACAGCGCCACAACAGTCAGAGTGTCCTGGAATAAAAGAGCAACCTCCCTCGGCCGCGCGGGCAATCTCTCCATTGTTTCCATTAATTGGCAGAGTTCTAAAGCGGCATCTCTCAGTTCCAAGCGATCAATTTTTTGCAGAAGGATCCCGGTTTGATATTTATGCAAAAGCTTGGTACCAATGATGTCAACAGCACAGGAATTCACCTCCCAAAGTGGCTCGCCGTAGAGGACTCCTGGTACATAAGGATCCACTATATCATCTGGTCCGGGAGGCTTTCTGTGGGGATATGACGTGATAAGATACTGGGGGTTTTGTATTGGTTTTAAGGCGTGCTGCAGATCATGAAGAGCCGCGAGAAGTTTTTGGTTCTCTGTTATAAATTCATCCGTGGCAATGAGTCCTTGTCGTGTTTTGGCATAGAGGGAAGCCATATCCATCGCATATCTTCTATTTCGCGCAGTAAAAGCCCAGATCTGCCTACCCAGATCATCCGGGAACATAACGGCTTCATCCACAGCACACTTCTCAGTCGTCAAGTACCACTCGCAGCCCAAGATTTTTTCATTGCCAGAGCGGCGTACCAACACATCAAACCGCGAATACCACATAAATATATGGCGATGAAAGTGGTCCTGATTCACTGTTTCAGGGCTGTAATGTTCAAGGAGCACTTGTCGAGCTGCTTGATGATGTTTGACTAGATTCACCCAGCTTCCAAGGTATTCCTGAAAAACAAACAACTCTCTCAGCGCCGAGCAGCCATACATGAGGGAAGGAACATACCTCAACTGCTGTAAGCTGCAGAATTGTCAATAACATGGCATCAGTGTGTTGCTCGCCTGACTGAAATGACTTCAACAACCCTGAAATAGACCGGTTATAGTATTCAAGAAAGGTGTAGGATTCGCAGTTGGGATGATGCAAGGAGTAATGGTAAGCTGCAAAGCTGACAACAGCACACATCAACGGTTCGTATGCGAGAGCATGTGTGATGATTTCATCCCGGAAGAAGGTCCCCGCGTACACTTTCATGAAGTAATGGCGAAATGTCACGCTCTCCTGGCGATATGTAAGGAAGAAATGGATGTCATTCTTCAGTCCAACAGCGTCGGGCGAGTTGGCTAAGATGTGTAAAGGTGGCTCTAAAGGCCCGTCGCTGCGTCCTTCATCTTCATTCCATACGCCATCCAAGCAGTTAGCTAAGTACTTAAACGCATTCAGGAACCCTCAATTTACTTACAAAAAGAGATAGTATTCAGTTCCGGTTTTCCTGACATGCTCTCATCTGAAATTTTCCGCCATCCGAGATATCGAGAGCGATCAGAATACAGGTCCTCAACTTTGTTTCGCTGCTTCTTTTGATTGTAACATTTCATCACGAATGAGCGTTTCGCTTTGGTCGACTCGGTGTCATTGACGAAGAAAAGTGGTTGACTTGGGCCTTGCACTGTTGGCGCATGCGCAGTTTGCTCTTTTGCCATCGCGGAAGAAGCTGAAGATGGGTCAGCGTCTGATTAGCGGTAAATCCGAAAGAGCATCATATCAGCTCTCCTCAGCCTTACCTTTCTCTTTTGCTTGGATGTAGTCGATATCATTTGATTCTGTACGGGACTTGGGTTTGACTGACGAACGAGATCCTCCATCCGTATAAGGCATTTTTGGCCCTGGTGTAGCGAAGAAAAAAGCACGAAGTCAAAGAGTGTACTTTGATCGGAGCAGAGGTCGAAGGATCTCGACCGACGGCTTTTCCTGGCAGAACAAGAACAGCATCAGGTGCCGTGACCAGTGGCGTGACCAGTGCCGGACCTGGCTATATGGAATCCAACTGAAATATATATGCGGTCACTGAGATCAGTGCCCTGATTCAGCCCATTCAAAAGGCACAAGCATGTAAGTTCATATGCTCCTCCAGGAGCAAATTCCTCCCTTGCATAAGGACCAGCCGTGGATGGCCAGACAAGCATGGACGGCCTGCATTTGCACAAGGCAGCGGGCTAGTGGTGATCGTCAAAGCAAGTGAGAGACATGGCTCAGTACTTGCTCCAGGGGGCACCTTCCATCGAAATATGCAGCAAGGCGATTATTGGGACCCGCACAAGCCACGCAAGCCCATCCCTTGTTTCTCGCCGTGTATAGTTTCCCAGGTCAACGATAAGGTGTCAAGAATATATTTGATTGTCCAAAACAAGCGAAAACCAAACATTTGGCTTAGGTCCATTGTGGTATCAAAGTATCCAAGCATGGATAGCTGATATACAATAAACGAGCCTCCGCTGCACAGTAGTGTTTCCCGGGTCACAACATCCAGAAATTCTAATGTTGCGGACGCACTATTTTTCATTGGCGCAAAGCAAGGATGTTCTATTTTTGAGTAACCAATCAATTTCCTTTGATTTATATCAACCACCAACAAACGGCGCATGTACACCAGAAAACAAAATAGGCCCCTGAATCACATAGGGAAGATTAAATACAGGCCATCAACATATCTTAAACCAATAATCATTGTCCGATAGCCTTGAACATGGTGCAGTTTGGTTTTGTGGAATCAATTTCCGGCAACTCCCGCTTCAAGTTCCGCACAGGAAGGGAGCCGAACGGAAGGAGAAAGTACCCGATTCAACTCCATTTCCATCTTATCCAGCCTTGAATCCCTTTGCATAGCTTCCCGCTGAAGCCGAGCAATTTCAGCGCGGAGAGAGTCGATGCTATCTGGTTTTGTATGAATGCGGTGGATATGTTTTTTGAGATCTACCTTTCTGCTAGAGCTGCGATCACAGTCTGAATGAGTCCACCTCAATTTGCTGTTCACTTGATGAATCGTTATTAGATGACGGCGCATGCTACCTGCCTGGGTAAATCGTCGGTTGCAGTCTGGGTTCGTGCACTTGTATGGGCGGTCATGTTTATCCATGTGTCTGCTGTTAAGGTACTTAGCACATAGTTCAAGGAATAGGAACTATAGTCAAAAAGGGCGGCACATACTTCCATTCCCACGGTGTCTTGAAGTACAGGATATGATCGTGGCAATCCGGGTGATTACAGTATATCTGGCCGGCATTTTTGGGCGGCTCCCTCGTTCGCCTTGCAGCCAGTCTCGGTTCAGAATCATCAGCCACGACTGGCGGCACCTCCTGAGCCATTTTGGTTTCTTGGGAGTGAGCTGTGGTGATCTCTGGGCTTTCACTTCGAGGCTTGGATATAACAACTTTTGTTCAATCCCGTTTTCTCTTTGCTCTTTGCGGCTGAGGAAATAATTTAACCAACTGGGCAGACAACCACACTGCGACTTTTGCAACGGTCCAGAGGGCAACCCAGAAGACAACGCCAAGCACGATAAAAGGAAGGGTAAAAACTAGAAAGCAGCTAAAAAGCCTTTTGGAACGGGGGCCAAGGAGATGGTTGAGATTGGGATTCTGTGATCCCATGCCGGCTAGCGTTCCGACGTATGTAGAGAACAAGATGGGAGAAGGGTGGGTGCAAGACCTCTCTTTATGGAATCTAGCAAGAGACACAACAAGTCCAGAGTGCAAGCCAGCCTTACCTTGACTGCTTCCTGCCCGACTCTGATTGAGCCCCTGGAATTTGTTAGCACGGAACAAACGGTTCGGATCTTCGCTTCACCCAACCCAACTGGGGATCAATATGTGCAAAGCCACGAAGGTACAGGAGGGCTGACGGCATTTGCTTATGTACGGTATGACACCAATCATTTACATTTTCCACCAAGCAACGACCTAATCGCTCTGGGTGTGCCTGGGGATTCGGGATCGTTTTGGATGAGTTGAGATTTTTATTGATAAAACACATTAATCTGCACCATGGAACAGGTCTTCCTCCAGTTGCTCCTTCCTTTCTTCACAAACAACTTGTAAATCAAGCAGCTTTTCCTTTAGGTTCTCTACCCCGTGACGAAGCTTAGCATCTTGTAATTGATGACATAGTGAGCATGTATACACGATCTGCAGTATATGTCCATAGTCTTCCCAGAAAGCGGTTATATGCCATCTAAGCCCATCCGATTTCTCTGTTGCTACATTCATACCCATCGACGTAAAACCGGCCAGCTTTTTAAACAATGAATAAAGCGTGCAGAATGCTATGGAAAATTCTTTCAGATATTTTCGTATATCACCAATTGTCTCGGCGTCGCTAAGGTGTCGAAGAGGTTCTTCCAAGGTGGCAATAGTTTCATCAATCTCCCATCTCATTTGGAGTAACGCGAGATAGAGATCATCCAGGTCGGTATTATTTTGTTCGATATCCTGTGTCGCTTGGGGTAACGCGCTATCAAGAGATTCCTGAATAAGATAAGTATTAAGAAACAACAAACTTGCGGAAGGGCTTAACTTACCATGATGGGAAGGCAACTTGAAGCTGATGATATGCTTTTTGTGGAAGCCTTGGTACTCTTCTTCGTGGTCCTGTGAGGCTCCCGTGGATAATGAATTGTAATTTGCTAGATGAATGCGGACGAACATGGCTATTCTTATAGCTGCTCGGAGTCTCACAATTAGATGATTGACTAAAAGGTGCATAGCGAGCGTGGGTCATCGAAACAAGCAAAAAGAAAACATTTAGTTCGACTTGATACTGATTGCAGGGGCTACATCGAGGTATGCAAGAAGGCAGTTATGGGACCAGTACATGCTTTTTGGCAGCCCACTTGTCAATTCCTGCTCAGCAATGAGGCGTTTGTGCCAATACTGCGCATAGATCCTGGCAGGGGCGCACCTGTAGGCGAAAAGAATTGCTGCTTTGGTTAGCAAGACGGCAGATAGGAAGATTGGATGGGTACTTCTGAGGTGGGGCACAATTAGCGCGCCCTTCTGCCACTGAACTTGTGATTGACTAAAAAGGCGGCGAGGAAACTGACGCTAATTGTGCCTCGCCTCCAGACAAGGACAGCAACTAAGTAGAATGGCCAAGGAAGTGGTAAAGAGCAGGTGAGCAGCAGACTTAACTTATTGCAAAATATACGTTCTACATCTTGAAGTATTGTCACTGGCTTGAAGGCTGTCAAATTCCGAAGGAGCTTTTTATTAAGCCGTTCCGTCTAAACCGCCGTTTTTCTATCAGCAGATAAACAGCGGACAAACCCCATTGCGATATATAATAGGGTCAAATCTTAAATCATCGGAAAAATAAAGGCACCCAGCAAGTTAAGTTTCTGCAACGCTAATTCCCCTTGTGAAACTCTCCTTGGAAGCGGGCATTTGAGGACTACAGCTTAGATCAACAAAATTCTCAGCGCGCGAGAGAGAAAATCCACCTTCGCCCGAATCCACCACACAGAAAGGAGAGCATTAGAAGCACAAATTATTTACATCTCTCATTGGCTGGCTTCTCCCTCTTACAACATATGAAAATCATCCAGCCATTTTTGTAAATCCGACTCAACCACTTTCTGAACTCCGTGGCTTTGCGCCGCAATCTCAGTGAAAGCAGGATGCTGAAAAGCCTGTTGTTTGATATTTTCCTTGTCTTCGATTAGCTAGCTATTCATCGCGTACTTGGCCTACACATACCTTCACAGTGAGAAGCATAGACTCGAATTCTGCAGAAGTCTTGAAATTCCAGCCTTGACGAAAACGGTTCCTGGCCCAAATGTTTTTGAGCCCATCAGCATCATCCGGAAGAGAAGATATGAATGAGCAGAGTTCGCCGAGTCCAACTTCATCCGGGCCAAAATGCCACGCGAGGGTAGCAAGTGCTGTTATTTCATCGCCTGAGAGCCCCTTGTACCAGCGCTCTAGATCTTCCGTCGGGATCAAACCGCTGGTGGGAGCCCAACAACGTACAATAGACGCCAATGCGACAATGGTTGCGTCGTGGGTAAAAAATAAAGAAGGCTCAAAAATACTCCCAGTATCTACTGCCGTCTTAGCCATATTGTCGACGCTGAGGATGTTGTCGGGGGGGATACCCTCGCGAGTGGAACCCCCCTGGGTGGGTGCTGCTTGCACGGCATCTGACAGAGATGCGCCCTTCGGCGGAGTTGGCAAGATCTTTTTCGTCTGACTAGAAAGGTTGTCCGCGCTTCTCCGCTTGCGCGGGTTCCCCGGCGGTGCCGGTTGTAGTGAGGATTGATCTGGATGAAAAAAATTAGCAGGTCTCTGAGTTAAAAACACTCTGGGTAGACTAACCTGGCATCTTCTTGGGAAGGCGCACAGGATCTCTGTGGCTTGATAAAGTGCACAAGGGAGCGTAGGGAGATAGTAGGTAGTATAGAAGTTGGGACGATCAACCATTTTTATACCATTGCCGGGTTTTCAAGTAGATTCGATAAACAGCTTCCAAGAGGAATATCAGAGTTTGGTAAACTTCCTGTACCGTAATTTCCTATCTGAGAGTCGAATTTTGTATGTTGTCCATCTGAAAAGGTGTTAGATACACAATGAAAAGAACATTCCTAGATAGCGTGGCTTCCAATTTGCGAATTTTTAGGGGGCGGCTTCCCTCTATGTATGCACTTTGGCGAATTAAGACTATACACATCATTTTTTTAATGGATTAAAACAGCGAGCCTTGTGGGAAAAATATTCTTAGCACCTTTATTAACTCAAATTTGGTGACATACTGTGAATGCTAATAATCCAATCAGTTAGAAAAATAATCGGTAGAAATTGAACTGGAATACTGGGGACAGGATGATCTGGTCGTTTCAGGCAGAGACCATCATTGCTTGTTATTTAAGCTAGCTATGGGTCATGCGTTGTTTGTTTATTCAAATGCAGTTAGATTGGTGCAAGGAATGGTCAGTTATGACATTTTACCTATGCACATCAAGATATCATACGTATGAAATGTAAACTATGTAAACTATGTAAACTGTTTGCCCATCTTAATCATTCCTCACTACAAGTGCGTGCTATGTTGGCATCCTCAGGTTCCATTTCTTAGCTCAAAGCCACCCACCGCCAATGGGCATGCACAGACAACGACGCAAAAGTTCATTTTCCACTTCTATAGCCGATTCCGCGAAGGACGGTTCGAGTGCGGGGGGGACTTCAGGCTGTTATTAGGCTGTTAGTGGAGCTCTTGTACCATTGCTTTCTAATAACATACTGATGTTTCCACTGGATCCAGATATTTCCCCATGGTTCCTCAAGAAGATAACCCCACGTCGGTGAAGGTGCTGGATATCTTCAACTGTAACAGCAGCTAAAAGAGAAAACCTCTCGTCATAAGATCTGAATGTAAGAAGAAAACCCCTATGCTGAATGGAGATCCCCCCCAGAGTGGCTTCAATAGAGCCTGTATCTTCAGCCTCAGGAAGAACACTCCCTCCAACATGATGAATTCTAAAGGAGCCTAAAAAGTGGCGATAGATCATTTCCATCCAATAATGCTCGCTTGTGTCGTTCGTAGTTTTCATCATATCCAGTTCTCGGTCCAGAGCGTCTCGAATCTTTTGAATTGCTGCAGAGAGGGATTGATTATGCGGGGTATTAGCCAAGAGAAGATCATGGTAGATAGCACCAGGAGGTTGGTCTTGATCTAAGGAGCGTGTATGTCTGCCAGGCACTGACACTGCGTCGATGATCGCAATGTTCGTAATTCGGACTCTCGGTCTTGGGTCGTAGTTTATCTCAATCCCGTCCGCAGATTCCGCCGGAGTTTCGAGGACGCCATTTGTGTAGGATGTCATAATGGTCACAAATGAAGAAGGCGATGGGGAAATAAGTTTGTATACATGGGCTTTCCGGTGGGGGAGGAAAAAAGGAAGACGGAAGAATTTATACCCCGCTGGGCCTGGTTGTCCCGCGAAGATAGACACCTTGTGAACAGGAAGCAGAAAGAGGCAAATGATTACATCTGCAGGTACTAAATAATGTAATCCAACTCCAACCAACAGTGTGGACAGGTTGGCCAGGGTTGTAGGGGGAAACGAAATCAAATAAGAAAAAACTGTGGAGGACAAGAGAATTGAGAAATTATATAGAACGCCGACACCAACCGCAGCATTCATGTATACACCTCCGCAAGTTCGTCCATAATCCAATCACAAAGCTTATAATGACAGCCAAACCAACCCTCCAATCACATGTGCAACCCCCCCCGGAAGATAGTCTTTTGTTTTCCCACCGTAAGATCCGCCCAGGCCACGTATTCAGAGCTTCGGATGGGATCGTTATGCTTTGGGAATGTGATTCAAAAAAAGAGAGTGTAACAGTGCAAGGATAAGAAGTCTTTTCGCCAGTGATATGCAGGTGGCTATTACTCAATGGGCACGACCGGCTGAATCGCATATCCCTGAAATAACCAGCCTCCAACACCATGGTAATCCCCGCCCACGAGCCCAGAAGATCGGACAGTGAGGCTGGGAGTAACTTCCCAGTGCCAGAACTGACAAAGTAGCTGTCTCCACGCTTTAGCAGTTGGAGAATAGGGGCCGAAGCCTGGCTCTGTTAGCGAAGATACCACATTTGGGGGAGGACATGTACCGTTGACATGATCTCAAAACTAGAAGATTTTACAGGCGCTCCCTGCAAGCTGGCAACGGTGCTCCGCTGAACTGTGTGCTCAAATTTGACTGAAAAGTTTTCGGTTCGGGCGATGATTGTCCATGCGCATTGTTCTGCTTCTACGTCAGTGACCCACCAAAGATAAGTAAAAGAAGGCTGCCAATGTACGCTGTGCAAGTTCAAACTCAAACTGAAAAACTCATACGGCAAAGGGATAATATGTCAACCAATGCACGCCCTTCGCATTAAATGACGGGAGCAAATTTTCTCTTTGCGTGTAATGCAATAATCCGAGTGCGAACCAATGTGGATGAGTAGCCCGTATTCGAACGAGGCAACGAGCAAGCGGTGAGGCATCTCTTATAGTCAAAAGCATTGAGGTGCGAAGTTTGGCCTCAATTAGTATCAAGGCAGTGATCCCTTGCATGAGGATGGCACGGACTCAAGATGGATTTGTATATCGCACTCGGCTGCCAGGTGATCGACGCAAGTTTCCCCGTGCCCTTGGCACGGCCTGGCACTGGCACCCCTGGCTTTGCATGCTGCTGGTCTTTTCCGAGGCATCCCACGCATACTGCAATGGCATAGATAGTCCGGGTGATGCCAGCGGCAATCGACCACTGTCCTCGTTGGGAAAAGGAAGATCCAATATCACTCTTGTCGGGAGTCTAGGCCATCATGACGCAGCTTTGGCGAGGAAAACCCGGCTGATTAATTTTGGCGATGGTGTAGAGGTCAAACCAACTATAACGCGACATCACTAATAGCGATAATCAACATCACCTGGAGCCGTGTCAGCACATGTAGGGGAGAGAACCGTAGTTTCACTGAACTTACTTCAATCCAGAAAGGCTAGTCGTGGACGAGTCCACCTGCGGCAAACCCTGCCGTTACGATAACAAGAAATGCATGGATTATAACCTCACGGATTACAGGGCCCTGAGATGGTATACCACGAATTCCGCCCCAAAAAATCAGACCGGCAATCGCGAGCACCATGTAATCGATAGACACGACCACAGCCGTACCTTTCACCGACGCCTTGTAGGCGACCGAGCTAACTCAATGAGCACCAGACCTATCAAGATCGGGGAGAAGAGCACACACACCATAAGATCAACCCGAGCTTTACCGCCGGGGACAGAAAACCATATCCTAGAAATAATCGATGCAGCAGGGCGTTCGTAAGAGGTCCAGCCTGGATTTTGCTCAGCCGAATCATGCTTAAGCGCCATGACCTAGATGCAATCACAGTTTAGTAGCTTGGCTGGCCACTGGTTCCAATGAAATACGTGTCACATTTAGTGTTCATTCAGCTGTCCAGTTGTGCAGGGGATTCCTAAAGTGGAATGGTTTCCGTAGTCCGCCAGGACCAGAGAAACCCAAGCCAAGCTAGAGATCAACTTCTTGACTGACCGCTACTAACTCCTGTCTATCTCTTCATCATTTGTCTATCTCTTCATCATTTGTCTATCTCTTCATCATTTGTCTATCTCTTCATCATTCAGGATGGATTTCAAGCTGAGTCTTATCACTGCTTTGGCACATTTCAATCCTTCTGATGTTCTTCAATCACCGGTAAGAATCCTTAGATAATTGCTAGCTCTTAGCTAATAGAGAGTAGGAACTTTACCATGGCTTTACTTGCTTCTTCGCCCAAGAAGGTGGTCCGGTTTTTTTGCAACATCTGTGCTCCTCTCTTTCTTCTTCACATCAAATATTTTCTTCCCACAGCGCTCGAGCTATCTCCCAACCCACTACACTGCCTGCCAATTCTCAACCTGCTTCTGCTCCTGCCACTCCTTCTACTCCCGCTTCTCCTCCTCCTGCTCGTCGTCCTCTATCTCTTGTTCCTCGTCAGCCCAAAAACAAGAGAAGTGGAAAAAGAGAGCACCGAAAGAGGCTCCATGAAGCAGTCCAAACTTCCCCCGACGAGCTAAAGAATAGCATGATGAAAACAGCTGAGACCTACTTCAAGGATAAAACGACCTTGGTTGACATCTCAGTGCATCTGATCAACAGTCAACCTCTCGACGAAACTATTCACGAGGGCTTGTGGAAACGAAGTGTTGATATATTCGCAAATACTGATTCCAAAGCATCTCGAGCGCGCCGCCTTGAGGAAGGTCGAGCTGTATTACAAACAGAGTGCTCTACGAATGACTATGCCAAGCGATTGAGCATGCTGCTGTCCCGTATTGAAATTGATGAGATGACTCTTTCAGTTCCAGATAATGAGTGCCGGCAGGGTGTCGGCAAAGCGACAATAGCCAATGAACAGTATGCAAAGGAAGCTAATGTGGATTCTGAATATGTATCAACAACTAAATCTCGGAGCCGCAACTATGCTCGTCTTGTAATCAAAAGTGGTCCTGGAATTTTGGCATGTTTGGATGGACAAGATTCAAGAACGTGAGTGAGCATCATGATCCACCATCAATATCTCTACTAACATTTCTCTAGGTGGGAGAGGCGCTCTCTAGATGTTGACCTGCTGCTTAAGTTTGTGAAAGAAAAGTATCCTAAACGGGAGGAGACCTTTCGCCGCCATGACCGAATATGCGCAAAGGCGATGCTCAGTGGGCTTAGAGCTTGTGGATGGACGGACAACCAGATTTTGCAGAGTAAGGGAAAAATGCTGACGGCCATGAGAAAATATTTCATTGAGCTCGTGCAGGGAGAGACGAGCAAAGAGTACGACGAGCCCAGCAGCAAACGGCCATGTCGCGGCTTGCAGGCACATATGCCTAGAGTTAATTCATTAGGAGGTATGTTTTGGTACAAGACTGTCTGGAAATATCTAACAATCTCCTTAGACCTGGGTCCTCATATAAACTCACATGGCAACATTCCAATGCAAGTTCTCGCTGCTGCTGCAACTTCGGAAACCCAACGCGACAGACCGCACATCGCACAGCAGGTTGTTGATACAATTCGATCCTTACCTTCCGCAAACTCACAGTCCGCACCCACAGAACTCAATCATACAACGAATTCAAGGGCTACCGTGGAGGATTTGGCTATCCCAGCTGAGACACTGCTGTCGACTGTATCCCCGCAGCCTCGTTTGAATGGCCTGACCGAAACAAACGGTATGAATATTGAGCAGCCGAGGCCTTCCAGAAATTACCCCCAGAGTACGTCGCAAGGAAAATCTACAGCCAACAAACCGTACCAAAATGTTTACATTCAATCAGGCAATACAGGTACGCGAAGTATATTGCCTCGAAGCATAGTATTTCAGCCAGCGAATTCGGCGCCGGTAGCACGACCGAACGTTACTGGAAGCGAGCAGGGGTGTCAGCGGCAGCTTGGAGAGCGCAGGAATCCGTTAACCCCGACATTCCCGCCATCCCCAAGCCCTATGTCTGATGGCTCCGGTTCGAATAACGCGAGACAGGAATTTGTACCTCAAGCTGCCCCTCACAATTTAGACTTCAACTGCTTTGATAGTGCAATGGAAGCCTTCGCCTGTCGGGTCGTCCCCTACGGTTCGGACTTCAACGACCTTGGCAATGTAAACGACGAAATGCAGCTGTTCGCATCTCAGGACGCAGTCGCTCTCGCGTCGGGCTTTGAAAATTTTGGAAGTGCAAACTATGAAATGCAGCAGTTCGCATCTCAAGGCGCTAATCTCTATGTTTCGGACAGTACAGCGTAATTCAAAGTTTATGTTGGGTTTAATAATAAAAATTTTCTAACTTAATACAATCGCTACAATGCAAGGTGGTAACCCATGGTTGCTCATACAATCTCATCCATGACCAACGCTGCGAGCTTGCCGTCATCTGGAATCTCAACAAAACATTCGCTCAAAATATGGTAGATATGGTCCGTATCTACTACTTGCCCTCCAACTTTTACCATGCCAGATACATAAAGAGGTATCACAATCGTGAATGTATTTCCAATATCTGCCTTTCCTGGCAAAAACACAAGTCCTCCCGGTCTGTATTTTGATATCGTTTTTAGTTGATGGGCTGTGGAAGATGTGGCCTGACATACATGTTAGCCAGCGTGTTATAATCCATAACGAACAGGACTCACCATTTGTGGGAAATTATTAATCACAGCTTGTATTAGGATATAGCAAGCATAAGTTGGTAGAAAAGCCGTGACTACGCCCCTGCGAGGCTTCGGGAGAGAGTTGACAACAGGCTTGCTCTCGTTCCAAGCCTCTTCTCTTTTTGCCTCAAAATCGGTGGACCAGAAGGGTATAACGGCACACTCGCTGGCAGCCATCCGGGCTTTACTGGTAGTGATAACGGTGCGAAATCTTGTGTTATTATTTTCAGGATTATTCTGGTATCAGTTAGCGACTAGAATAAATATGGATATTGAATATCACACTGACTTACTATGATGTCAAATCTGATATGTATGGTTCAGCAGCAGAAACAAAAATAAAATTTTGGAGGGGCATTGGGCGGTAAATCTTTTCTGCCATTGTTTCTGGGTATCACGTGGCACTCCCAAACCCTTCTTTTAACCCGGTTGCGCATGAAGTCCAAAATGAGCGATTTTTGCCCCACTTTGTGACTCCGAGGCTAATGGGATTTTCCGGTTAGTTATTTCGTTTAGGGATTGCTTACCCTCAGCATCATACTGGCTGCCCATTCATCACATAAAATTAGCATATGTCATTGATTTCGCCATGCGGCGCAATGTGCTTTACTCGTAGGTACGCTATACAACAAAAAGAAGTTCGGCGTGACCTTGCAACCCCTAACTCTTGGTCATGTCGTGAATAAACAATGATATACGTAAGAGCGGCAAATTCAAGGCAATTCCCACTTCAACTTCCAGCCAGCCGGCCGTATCGTCATACAAAGTAGCTGATCCACATGATATTTGACATAGAGATTGCCACCCACTGCGACCCTTATAAAGTATTCACCTAGCACATGGTAATAAAATGATTTGTGTCCACGGTTACGTCGCCGATTTTGACATTTCCTGACACTTGAAACTGCAATCAAAATCGTGAAGGATTTGATTGAGATATTTTTGAAATACACAAGCCCCGTCACTAAGACATTTGAAAATTTGCTTGGCTTTCCCTGGTAGGCTTGAGCAATGTGAAACGTTAGAAGAGAATTAAAATATGTAAATAGAGGAGGATTGCGTAGCATATTCATTGCAAATGCAGTCTTATGTAGTTTGAAGTGTGCGGGCCCCATTGTCCATCAGCTTAGTGAGTTTGTTGCAGATATGCTGGAAAATTGGGAGCGTGATAAAAGCTTTTGCCCCTCAGCATATTTGCGCATACGGTTCTCATGGGTTGCCGTAACCATGAACCATGACATCATAGATGAAACCAGGTGAACAGAGACAATTTATCAAGGGCGACGTGGAACGTAACGCTACTTAAAATGCGAACTCTTATTGGTGTGAAGAGAGGACTTTTGATCAGAATGCAGTAAAATTGTAATGATGCGAGTGGAAAGAGGGAAGACTGTGAAAATGAAAATGCCAGCTGTATGCTGAAAACGGCGACGAACATCCATCAATGCTCTAGAGCAAGGTTCGTGAGCGGGTTAGTCAACCAGGGGCAGTTCGCTATTTCGTCAGATACGACCAGTTGGCTCGCGTCTTCTCCATGTTCAGTCGCCACAGTCACAGCACATGATATTTCATTTTAATAGTTAACCGGGCCCTAGAGGCTTGTTTTTAGACAGTACGAAAAAGAGTGAGTGAGGCCTAAGTACAGTGATTACTAATACCTGATGCAATTCTTCCCTGGCAGTCAGCACACGCGACGGGTGTCGTGGCGTACATTAACCCTAAATGGGAATAGCCGACCTCCTCAAAATACGATTTCAATATTTTGTTCGCGCTTATTACCTTTCGTCGCGAGCAAATAGGATTAATCTTCGCCTGGTTCCTTGTTCGGCGGCTCTATCCGTTCCCACATTCGCGTTGAGCATCAAAGCCGGATCAAACCTTTGACCATATTCCTCCCTTTGATTATATATATCAGCATCTGTTCCCAGCGAGCTATCTTCTCTCGCAGGTATCCTAACAATTCTGACATAAATTAGCATACCAATTTAACTCCCGTACAACTCCTGATTAACCTCGCACGAACCCAACGGTCTTTTATGCCGTCAAAATGGCGGGACTTTCACAAGAAGATCGCAACATTATCAAGAACCATCCTCTAGCCAACTTAGTCGATCATTTACGAGGCGCGCTTCAGCAAGCCGAAAGACAATATGCGTATGATGGCGCTGATGAGAGCCAGGACCAGCTCTATCGAAATGCGATTTCAAAACTCCTCTCTGCTTTACAGGGAGAGGAAGCGGCGCTCAATATTCGCTCACGAATAAGCGATGGAAATGTGGCTTCTGATATAGCAAATCTGTTTACGAGCCTTCAACGGGCCAACTTCAGCTACAACCACTACAGGCGGCTGGTACATCTGGTCATCCAAAGGCTTCCCCCCACTGAGTCCCAGAACGTCGAAACCTGGAACTTCGACGTCTGGAACGCTGTCTTTGGTCTTATTGACACCGTCTCGCGAGGCACTCCCCCCCCTCCTCCTCATCCTACGTCATCGATCCAACAGACGCCCTGGCTGCGCAACACTAGCAGTTTCGTCAATTCTACAGAATATCGAAAGCACGTTGACATTGTGCTGAAGGAGGAACTTGGGGAGATACACGTCGACATCCCTAGATTCTTTGACGCGTACTTTGGAGACATTCCACATCTCACTGCAGTTTCACAAGCGGTGTTGGAGGAGTGCGAGAAGGGAGACAGCCCCCTTTACCATGAAGACGAGGGCTGGAAGGGCTGGCCTGAACTTGCAGCAGAAAGAGACGTTCTGAAATGGCTCGCTAACATCATCGCTGAGCTCGTACGATTAGCCGAAGCACAAGAGCCGTCCTGGAAGATCGACCGCAGACCTCTCGCACAGCCAAGCCAGCCACTACAGGGGTCTGTCGCGGAGAGAAAGCTCGATATCGGCTTTGTCGATGATCTGACGGCCACAGAGGACTCCAGATGTCACTGGTCGCAGATCCTGGTGCCAGGGGAGCTGAAAAACGACCCGAAATACGACAGGAAATCTGGTGCATGGTTTGATCTTGGCAGGTACGCCCGAGAGGTCCTTGCTGCGCAGGACACCCGTCGTTTCGTGCTCGGGTTCACCCTCTGCGGGCCGTTCCTACGACTGTGGAACTTTGACCGTCTGGGCGGGATCGCGTCGGAGGAATTCAATATCAACCAGGGCGGCCTTCGATTTGTGTCTGTTATCCTTGGATTCCTCTTGATGAACCGGAAGCAACTTGGGTTTGATCCCACCATTGTCGCGACCGGGACCGAACGCTATATCGAGATTGAAAAGAACGGTACTAAGGAACGGCTGATCATCGACGGGATTGTTGGACGAGCACGCTGTGTTGCCGGACGAGCCACAACCTGTTGGAGGGTATACTGTGAGACTGACAAATCACGGACGCCGCTGGTTGTCAAGGACTCCTGGCAGTATCCGGAACGCACTGAGGAAGGAGAGTTGCTGCGAGAGGCGATGGCGAAGGGGGTCAAGAATGTCGCGAGGTATTATCACCACGAGACCGTTCGCATTGACAACAAGGATGATGATGTCTTGACTATCAGAAAGGGCCTCGGTATTCCGATTTCAAAAGATGAGAAGGGTGGTTTGAACGCGAGAGTGCGGCGTAGTAGGTCTCAAAGAGGACAAACGAGCCAGGGCAGCACCGCCGGCCAGAAGCGATCATCTGACTGCGTGGACAAGGCATTTCCTCCTCCCCCAAGTAAGCGTACCCAGTCAAGTTCTCCATCCAAATCTGCGGGCGGCTCAGCCCCATTCAATCGAGTTCACCGTCGCGTCGTTATCCGGGATTACGGGAAACCAATCTATGAGAGTAGTTCGAAGGCTACACTTCTCACTGGGCTGGCCCGCTGTATTGAAGGATACATGTCGCTCCATGATGAGGCTGGCCTCATCCAATGTGACGTTTCCCCCCGCAACCTGATGGTGAACGAGGACAAGGACAATCCTTCATGGCCTGCCTTTCTGATCGACCTTGACCTGGCAATCAAGTTAGAACGGGATGGGTCTTCCGGCGCACGGGGCAAAACGGGCACCAGAGCGTTCATGGCCATCGGTGTCTTGTACGGCGAAAAGCATTGTTTCATGCATGATCTAGAGTCGTTCTTCTGGGTTCTTTTCTGGATATGCATTCACTATGAAGGTCCAGGAAAGGGAAGAGTAATGAAGCAGTTTGAGAAATGGAATTATATGGATACAGAAGAGCTGGCCCATGCTAAGAAAGGAATTGTGGCAGATGAAGGGGATTTTCTTCGAATCGCAGAAGACCATTTCACTCCATATTATCAATCATTTATCCCTTGCGTCAATCGATTACGGCGCCTTGTCTTTCCAGACGGCGGACGGTGGAAGAAACCAAATTTTAACCTATCCCGGAAAATGATTGACACACTTCAAGACGCACAGGATAACCCAAATGCCGTAAACTAGCAAAGATTCTGTGTATTGTTTTGTCTTTTAATATAACATCTTTGACGAAGAGATTGACTTTCTGGAAAGTCGTACGAGGTGTACTTATGAGATTGTTGGAATACCACAAGGCCCGAAAAAGTTATATGATCCTACATTGAGGTGATGATAGTTGAGCTCTAATTGATACTAAATAGAATTAATGATTGCTCTTGTCCGTGGCGAATTATGTCCACTCCAATTAGACAGCTTACTAAATCGCTAAATGATCACAAGGATGAAATATAGGCCCCAGCAAATATTCAATGAAAAGAGATGGGAATAAGTTTGAACACTAATAAATATCTGGATGTGGCCGCAGTCCAAAGGTATGTTGGTTTTCAGAAGCTTTATAATGGGCGTTATGAGAAACTGCCGCCACGAAGGTGAACCGAGAAGTAGCCGTTTGACCTCACATCCCATCAGCACCACAAATGAGCAGGTCGTTTTGGATCGCAGGTGTACATGTACATAGTCGGTAAGAATCACATTCCCCTAACCCGCGTTCCTTATACTCATTCTCGACGTACCTTGGTGAACGGTCAGCAATGAAGCCCACTGGATATGGAAAAAATGCTTACCGGCACTCAAATGCTCCGCGTTGGATCCCGAGCTTCTATCGCAGAGGCCCGTGGATCGGCAGCATCATATCGTTCTTTACTCCCCCTTTCTATCGCCTCGAGTATCGTGGACATTCGCTCAAGTATTTCAATCATTTCGAGCGCCTGGCTATGGATCTCCATGATTTCGTCTCGCCAAAACGTTTTGCCGCCGCCCTTGAGGTCCGAGACGGTTGATGAAGGTCTTCGCGCGCCATGATTGGCATTCTGCATTGTGGTAAAGGCTTTAAAACTTCCTATTACAGGTGAGAAGAGCGACGGGGTTTCTGCTGAGATGCGAATATCTTGTCGATTTGCGGCGTATGAAATATTACGCATTAAGAATATACATAGAGATACCCAGAACCGAGGAGGCTTTTATACTTCTCTCCGGATCTAGACAGAATAGACGAACGGAAATGGGTTCGAGGAAAAACCCAAAGTGAGAGGCAAAGAAAAGAGGGAGAAGGGCAAGCAAACAATGACACAAACAAAGGAACACACACAAAGAAAGTACTACCATACCATGGGCGTAGGCATGATAGACCTTTGGGCTGGAGTGTGATAGGCGATGCCAATAGCGCTCGTGGGCCGGAATCAAATATGCTAGGCAGGCAAAGTTCAAACAAAGAGATCCAAAGCAAACGAGATGACAATCAAGACAGGCAAAGTACGGAACAAATCAGAACCGAAATGGATATTGGCATGCTACACAGACAAATATTCTAACTGATTGATTTTGCAATCTTGCGTCCACTGTCCCTGCGCGATCTCCTTCTCTGCTTGAAGCGCATGTGGCCCGTCAGAGTAGTAAGTGAAGGCCGCTCGTCCTTCCACTCTGCATGGAATTCTTTGACCAGCTCCTCGCATCCCGGTATCAAATCGCTCCGCGGTTGCCACGTAGACCGCCATGCAACATGGTACTCCAAAATTGGCTTGCCCTTCCGCACGCGGATCCGGGAATCTAGTATCTTTTTGACCCGCCACTCCTCCTGTGTCGCACGGGCATGGCCAGCTGAGATTTGACGCCGACTCCCTGGATGTGGAGAGACGGCGTCGTGGGGTGCGCCGGCGGAAGCGCTCACTTCGTCCATGGTAAGAGGGGGAGGGGTTTCTGCATGTAGTAGAAGATCAGCGGGAGAACGCGGGACGGTAATTGAAGCTGCTAAAAAGCTGACCTGAAACCTCTCGGGGAGTCAATGAGGCTCTACCACCATCCGCCATCCCGTCTAGATCGTCACCATGATCGGTAGGCGCCTCGCGGGCAGGCAACAGTGGCCGGGAAGTCTGTCCAGCTGCGGACTCGCTTGTGGGTTCACCACTGTGACCTATCTCCGTCCACCCATCTACGATGAGGCCATCTGGAATAGAGCCGAGGTTAGCGGGTCGAAAGGACATATCGTGAGCGAGTCAAGAAGAAAGACGGACCTCTACTTCCACCCAACCGGCATGCGCGAAGGCCGGCTTCAGTGGCACTTTCCGCAGCCGTATCCGCCTCCTCGACAGGCATACCAAGGCGGTCGCTGGCAAAACCGCTCAGATTCGATCCAGAGGGGATTGTGGCGTGCTCGTCGGCATTTCTTCCGTCCCCGCCAAGTGGTTGGCTCCCGTCGTCCGACGAGATCCCCTCCAAAATTCTGTCAAAGTCGTTTACTGGAGTTGCGGGTGGCTGGGACCGTCGGCCTGCAGGGCGAGAAGAGATGGGAGGTGTAACAGAAGGGAATAGGCGGGGGGGCAAAGGGTGTCTGAGCTGCTGTGACGGACAGAGTAGGGAAGTGAAAGAGTCGGCGGTGGGATTGGGTCTACGTGCTGGGGGTTTGGGGGGTGTGGAGATTGCGGGCAGGTTCGGGCTTCGTGGCTTGGCTGCACTCATGGGATTTGGAGGTTGATAGAATTGGATCTTGTCCATGGTGACTGCGGCCATGGCTTTTTCTCTCTGATTTTGGGTTCGGGGAAGCCTTGATTCTCGTTCTACGATCAGTGCTTTTGAGAGGGGAAAATCCGGCGCTTTATAGAGCAACAACTGGAAAAGCTCCTCCATCGGCAGAGCGCCCAAAGTTTACGCAAGGCTCATGGATAGATTCCAGCATCTTCAGAAAACGCCTCGTCTCCTCACTTCAACACCGGGAACCACCCGCAAAACGGCAGCCGATCGCCATGCAACACACGAATGCAACATCGAGCCAGGGTTCCTCCGGACCACACCGTTGATCAGGCCTGAGTTAAGGACCGTTGAGAGTTCACCATCGAGCACACCCGGAAATGAGCGAGACAAGCTTGCGTTATCTACGAGGATAAACACAAACCGGTCATGGGGACGTAGAATCGTCGACGAATTAGCTACGGAATAACAGGCACATGCGCTGGCACCCACGCCCTTGGATCATGCAGGAGGCCCCGTCTCATCGTCACACGATCACTGCGCCCCTAATATTCCCTCGCCCCCTCAGCTGCAAACAACTCAGCGTCAGGTTTGCCGACATCCCTCGCAAATCAAAATAAATCGTGGCCTGGGCGTGGCAGGCAGTGCGGAGACGGGATACCGCGCTTGGATACAAGGATCCACGAGCAACATTTCAAGAGGAGCCAATGCAACTATCGATACCAGCCGGAGCCTCGGCGAAGGCGGCATTTTGCGTCCACACCCCTCCCAAATCAGCTCGCAGCGTTTTGTCGCATTCCTCGTAATCTCGCTACGTCGCAGGGAAAGGGGGCTGGTCGGATCCACGTATTCTCGGGTTTCGCCGGCATGAGGGATTTTTGCCATTGGCCAAGAGCACGACGAGAATGCACCCGCAATTGCAGGAACACGCCTCCCATGTTACATCCCAGTGTCCAGCCGAGTGTCGCTACGCCCCTGGCGGGATGTTGGATCCAAGCAACCTCGGGTTTCGCCGATGTGAGGGATTTCTGCCATTGGTCAATAGCATATAGCGCATGTGCCGAAATTGGAGTTCGAAGGGAAAGAGAGCTAGTAGAAGGAATGTGAGGAAATGGGGATGTTATCGCACGAGACTCGGAGAAAGCCCCTTGCAGGGGGAAATGAGAGACACAAAGGGAGCGAGGGAAAATATTCAGAGAGTAAAGCCTGTTGTCCGTCTGCAAGCAGAGGCGGTGTGTGTGTTGTGTAAATGTAATCTTTAGATTGACGCGGTCCTTCCAAGAAGAGAGAAAATAGGGGAAAGGCGGGCGCTGACGGGGAGCCTAGAAGGGATTTCGTGTGAGGGGAGGGGGGGAAGGGAGCGAGGGCGAAACAGTTCAGGAAGGAAGCTCGGCAGCAGGCTGTGGGAGGGCGAAAGGGGGCAAGCGGCAAGGGCAAAGGGGAAGGGCGAAGGGGAGGAGCGAGGCGAGGAGGGAAAAAGTTGAGAAGGTGGAAGGTGCGTGGTCGAAGAGGGAAGAGGAGCGACCTTATATAGGCTCCCGGAACCGATCGATGATGTAACTCCAAGCGGCGAGGGCGAGGGGCGCCAAACCCGAACGGGCGACGGCAGGTTCGACGCGGCCAATGGGCGGGGTCGACGGCGGCACGCCAGGCCCGTTCGGGAAGCGGCGCGAGGATGAGGCTGGATGCAGCCGCGTACTCACCGTCTGAATGTTTACTTTAATAAAATATTAAAATAATTTCTAATAAATAAATTCAATAAAGATTATATTTATAATTTTTTTTATTAATATAATTATTATATTATTATTAAATAATTTTTATTTATAAAATATTTATTTATGATATGATTAAGAAATAATCATTATATTATTATTATTATAACTTATTAATAGTTAAAATAATAATAAAATAATATTATGAGAATACTAATATAAATAAACTAAGTATTAAAAAAAAGTATTAAAAGCTCTATAACTAAGATTATAAAAGAGTAGATATATAAATGCTGTGAATATTATGAAGAGAAAAGAATAGTGATAAATGAAATGTATATATAGAATTGAATAATAGCTAATCACTTAATCTTTCAAAGAAACTTTGAGAATTCAGAATATTTATATATATGAATGAGTAGCAATAAATTTTATCTTTAATCTTTCATAAAATGAGAAATTAGTAATGCAGTGATCTAAATCTTCATAAAGTGCTGATATTATTCTTTAGAAAGTGCTGATGTTAAAAAACTAATTTTTGAGAAGTACTGATCTGTGCTAATTCTGTATACTGAATTTTGAAATCATGTTGATTCTCTGAAAGATGTTGATTCTAAAGTACTTTGATAAGCAGTATAAAGATAAGTACTTTAGTAAGTGAATGTGGTAAGCAGTTTGAGAACCTAGAAGATTTGATTTTAAAGTGTTTTTGATAAGTAGTATAATAAGCAGTGTGAGAACAAAGAGCTAGTATAGAGAGCTTTGACATTACAAATAGCTTCAATTTATCTATTTAACTACGTATTTATAATAAAAATACTAAACTAAGAATTAAAATGAAGAATAAGCAAGTAGCTGAATAAATAAAGGTAATTAAATATTAGATTAAATTTATCTTTAAAGAAGATATAATTAATAATTAAAATAAATTAATATGAGTAATTGAATATGATTAAGATTAAAATAGATTAATTTTTAAAGTATAGTGAAAAGAATCAATCTTAATTCATATACAAGTAGCTATATTATAATATTATTTTTTAATTTAAAAAAGTATTTGTCCTCAAATAGTTACATTAAAAGTAAGAAAAAAGCAAAATAAAAATTTATTAAGTTTATCAGTAGACTAACTACTTTAATCATCATTTATTGATTATTATAAATATTTTTTTATATCTTATCAATATCAAATTTACCATTAGATTTTTATCTAGAGATTGAAATTTATTTAACAGTTTAATAGCGATAGAGCTTAGAAAAATATAAATAAAAATAATAATCTTTAACTTAATAATTATAAAATTCATAATATATGCAATAGTTTTGTTGATAAAATCTATTTTGTTGAGAAAATGAAATTAATAAAGTATATAATAAAGAATTATTTAAAAAATTTAAAAGTATTAAGTTGAACCTGATTTAAATTTATAAAATTATAATAATCAAAACAATTAAAGAAAACAGACTGAGAAACATGTGAAATAAATAAATATAATAAACTAGAAGCTTATTACTAAACAATATATAGAATTTCTTATAGATTTTAAAGAGATTTAGCTATTAAACTATATAATTTCAAATTAATATACTAAGATAAAATCTTGATAAAATTGAAATATTTTAAAAAAAATTTAGTTAATTCTAAGCTCTGATCTCATAGAGAATATATTCAAGCTTAGCAATAAATTTAGTAATATAAACTATTAAAGATATATTTAATTTCTACTTTAAACTATATTAGTTTATTTTTCTTTTTAATTATCTTATTTGAATTGTTATATATATAAGAAAGCTGATTAAGAATTAAGTTATAGTTTTAATTTTCTATTTCTTCAGTTTGAGCTAATTAAAAAAGAATAATTATTTATATATTTGAATTTAGATTTAAATAAATATATTAAAACTAAGTAATTAAATTTTCAATAGTAGTTTGATCAATATATAGTTTTACTTTAATTGTTAGGAGTTAGATATCAAATTTCAAAGTTTTATCAGTGAACTTTTTAGAGTGTAATAGTGATAGTTTTAGATGAAATTGAAATCTAAAATTATTTAAAGTAGTTTGTCAAAATTAATATTCAGTTTATAAAAATTAATATTTAATCTACAGCTATTGATTTTAACTATAAAGCTTCTGAATAATACTCTCAAATTTTTGACAAAAAGTAGTAAAAAAAGCTTTTATAATAATAATTAAAAAAAAATAAAAATTTAACAAAGGTTTTAAGCACTTCACATAGTTATAATCACTAAAAAACTCAATTAAATACAGGTATAAATATGAATATGGATATAAATATAAATATAAAACTTGCCTACTCAATCTATAAAACTTATGAGAAAATGAAGTTTAATATTATATTATGACTCAATTAAAGTCAGAATGATAATAAAGAAATAGTTTCAATTTATCTACTTAACTAGATAGCTATAATGAGAATAGTAAACTGAAAATTAAAATAATAAATAAACAAGCAACTAATTATATAGAAGTGATTGAGAATCAGATTAAATCAATTTTTAAAATAGATATAATTAGAAATCGAAGTAGATCAATATAAGTAATTAAATAGGATTGAGATCAGAATAGATTAATCTTTAGAATATAGTTAAATAAATCAATTTTAATTTATATATAAGTAAATATATTATAATAATTACTAAATAATTATAATTATTTTTTTCAGAGTAGTGATTTTATATTATAAAGTAATCGTATCACGCGCACTCACTATTAATGAGTACGCCTTTTTATAAAGAAAATGTCATCATAATGAAAATCTTCTAGAATCACTAATCTTCAAAAATTAATTAATAGTTAACATTATATCTATTTATATATAAAGATTTTCTATATACTTATTAAAATATATAGAATCTCTAATAGATTAAGATTTATTAATAATATTATATTATAGTTAGTTGGTATTTGATTTGAAGACTTTAATTTTAATTGATTATAGAGCTCTATTTCTCTCTTTTATATATTCTTCTTCCTTATAATATTTGATCTTGTGATTGATATTTTTAATAATGAGAACTCTATATATCTACATCTTCATATAGCTATTTTTAATAATCTAATATTTATTTATTAAATAATAAGCAAATAATTTATTTTCTTAATATGTATTCAATTCTGTCTGTATTAAACTTTTTTTAAAAATTTTATCTAATCAATAAGTCAGATCAAGTTCAAAGTATTTTTTATCTTTTGTATAATTTTATCTGTTGCTTTGATTTGATGATATAGTTTTATGATTATATCTGAAAATATCAACTGAGAAGTTGTAGTGAAGAATCAGATCTCAGAAAATAAAGTAAAACTGAAGTATTCTTCATTATCATCATTATAAACAAGCAGTTTTAGACTATCATCTATATTATATTATTTCAAGTATTAAAAGATTATTTTTTATTTAATTAAATAGATTTTATAATAAGCAAATCCAGCTCTGATAATAGTAGATTTGAAGGTTTGATGATAAATAATCTCTAAATTAATAAGAAATTACCTCTCACTATATTGTTCATATTTATATCATATAACCTCAATAACTGCTTTTGTATAATAATATTTATATTGCTAAAAAAATATACTATCAAGAGATTGCATTAGATAATTTATATAAGATAAGAATTTAAATATAGTAATATTATAAAAATCACAATATTAAAGAAATTCTTCAGTAAGATGAGATTCATAATTATTAAGCAATAATAATTGATGATTATCAATCTGGTATTTCTTAGTGACAGTATTAAAATATTTTATCTATTCAAATTCAATCTCATTATTAGTGAAGCCAGTATCAAATATGATAATAGCATAATCATTAAACAGATTAAAGTATATATATTAATCTTTTAGATAAATTTTTAATTTTATTATAATTAATAACTTTAATATTATATTATCTATATTAATATATTTTATTGCTGTTATTAATTTATAAAAATATAATGATTGGATGACAAAATTGATATTTTAATTAACACTTATAACTCATTGTTCATGCTCTTCTTCTTGATAAAACTCAATTTTATCATAATTATATATGTTACTAGTATAGAAATTATATTAATTGAAGACTGATTTATAGCAGTTGAACTAGTTGATAATAAAACTTATATTGTCATTTGATACTCATTTTGAATTATAGATTTCTGCTTGATCCTCTTATACTCTAGCAGATATTTAATGAATTAATACACTCACATCTTGCCCATGGTAAAAGTAGCAATATATGAATTAATATAATAATAACTTAGCATTCAATTTATAGTAGCTTCAATATATTCAACTGTAAAAGAATAAAAGTTTTTATTCAGTTAATGAATTCACTTCTTGATTGCTTTCTTCTGACTGCTACTCAACATTCAATTGATTGAAGCTATTATATTTCTTAATCTCTTTCTTTTAATATATTAATATAAAGTTCTATATAGAATTTTAAATTTTCATATCATATTCATGATTTTTAAATTTGATTTTGATTTTAGGATATCTAATATCATTTGAATCTGATCTTTTGAATATTTAATATTATTAAATATAATGATGGTGATTATTAAATTTTGAAGATTGGTGATGAATATATAAGAAAAAGATTTTCATTATAGTGATATTTTCTTTACAATGAAGTGCACTCACTAATGAGAGATAGTGAGTACACATGGCACAATTAATCTGAATAAAGTTTATTTTATATTTTCACATCAATGACTAGTTACATTACTATTTTTAAAAAATATTATCTGAATATATTTACTATATATAAAAACTTAAAAATATATAAAATTCAGTAGTTAAATTTAATTTTAACACTTTTACTATACTCACAAGCTTCATTATAATATAGCAATTGCAATTTCTTTGAACATAAAAGAGTTTCACTGCTCTAATTCAATAATAATTTATTTTAATTTTAATTAAATGTTGTTGAAAGTAAATGATTTGAATTAAAATCTAGTTACTTGAGCTTTAGTGATTTT